GGGTGGGTGGGCCGGGTACGGGCCGGGTAAAACGGGTACGGGTCCAAAACGGGTGGATATATACGGGTCCAGTATTTTGGACCCATGCCCTACCCTATACGGGTGCGGGTGGACCGTTTTTTCTCTCTCCAGCTTTCGGTTTTGACAGTTTCACCCCTAACAGTTTTCAATTATGACAATTACACCCCCAAAATTCCTGCAGTTTTAATTTTTTACATTTACACCCCNGACTTAGGGATATTGAAGTATTTCTTGGGGGTTGAGGTTACAAGGAGCAAATGAGGTATATACCTCTCTCAGAGGAAATATGTGCTCGACTTATTAACTGAGACAGGGAAATTGGGGGCAAAGCCATGTAGTGTTCCGATGGTTCCTAATGTGCAGCTTACAAAAGATAGTGAACTATTTGGAGATCTTGAGAAATATAGAAGATTGGTCGGGAAGTTGAACTATCTTACGATGACTCGTCCAGATATTGCATATTCAGTAAGTGTTGTCAGTCAGTTTATGGCCTCCCCAATAGTTCATCATTGGGCGGCTTTGGAGCAGATCTTGTGTTATTTGAAAAGAGCTCATGGAGCAGATGGGAATCTTCGCAAATGGTCTGAGAAAGGAGTTACGGGCTGAGGTTAGAGTAAGTCAGTCTAATAGCCTATTTGAGATTATTGACCAGGCCCATAGAATAGAGGAGAAAAACTGGGTCCTAGACAGACACAAGCCCAGACTTTTTAAAACCCAAATGGGCAAACCCGAGAGCTACAATCGGGTCTCCATTTCTTCAGATCTGGGGCGACAAAATGGGGCAACTGTGGGACTCAAACCTCCAAAGACAGGACAGAATAACCGGGTTTGGAACAGGAAGGAGAAGATGATGGGTGGAACAACCACCCCACCCCGAAATGATGGATTCCGGCGACTGACAGAAGCGGATCTATAGTATAAGCGCGAAAGGGGGCTGTGTTTTCGCTGTGACGAGAAATTCGGGCCAAATCACAAGTGCAAAAGTCGATCTCTTCAAGTTCTTCTGCTGCTGGATGACGATGAACCTGATAGAGGAGAAATCATCAATGAACCAGAGTCTGAAAGCTCCACCTAAGGTCACCCTCTATCGTTATCCATGAACTCCATCGTGGGTATTACGCCCGATCGAACCATGAAGCTCCGGGGGTGGATTGGGAGTGAGGAGGTAGTGGTTTTGGTAGACAGTGGAGCCTCACATAACTTCATCTCACAGGGGATAGTGTGAAAATTGGAAATTCCGATTGATGGAACAAAGTCTTTCGGGGTCATGGTGGGTAATGGATTCAAAATCAAGGGTGAAGGGATATGCCGAGATGTAAAGTTAGAAATGCAGGGGATGGAGGTTCAACATGATTTCTTTCCCTTCCAACTAGGTAGGGCTAATGTGGTCCCCGGGATAACTTGGTTAAGCACTTTGGGTGATGTTTATACTAATTGGGGCAAGTTGATGATGGCATTTGAGAAGGAAGGTACGCAAGTAATACTCAGGGGAGATCCTTCACTGGTGAAAACAGTAGTTTCTCTGAAAACATTACTTGGGATGCTGCCGTTGGAAGGGGATGGATATGTGGTGGAATGCAGTTCAATAGAAGTCAGGGAGGGTCCGGATGAACAAAAGTTGGAGCCTGCGGTGGTAGAAGTGCTGACTGAATTTGCCCCAGTCCTTGACCAAGCCACTAGACTCCCTCCCCGTAGGACACTTGACCATGCCATTACCCTGCAACCAGGCACAAAACCACCCAATATCAGACCATATAAATACCCTTACCTTCAGAAAAATGAGATTGAAAGGTTAGTTGGGGAAATGATGGATGCAGGGATTATCCAGCCTAGCTCAAGCCCCTATGCCAGTCCCGTGTTGTTAGTTAGGAAAAAGGATGGGAGTTGGCGATTTTGTGTTGACTTTAGAGCCTTAAATAGCATTACCATCCCCAACAAGTTTCCTATCCCATCTATTGAAGAGTTGTTGGATGAGCTAGCAGGGGCGACGGTCTTCTCCAAGTTAGATTTGAAGTCTGGGTATCATCAAATTCGGGTTCAAGAAGAGGACATCCCGAAGACAGCCTTCCGTGCCCACGAGGGCCATTATGAATTCTTGGTGATGCCCTTCGCATTAACGAATGCACCGTCGACCTTTTAGGCCCTTATGAATACAATATTTAGGCCACTCTTACGGAAGTTCATTCTGGTTTTCTTTGATGATATTCTCATCTATAGCATTGACATGAATACCCACATGCAACACTTACGCCAAACTTTCCAGATTTTGCAGGATAATGCACTGGTGGTGAACCAAAAGAAGTGTCTCTTTGCTCAGCACAAGTTAGAATATCTGGGCCATTTAATATCAGCCAGCGGGGTGGAGGCTGACCGGCAAAAAATTGAAGCCATGATTTCCTGGCCAGTACCACAAAATGTGAAAAGCTTGAGAGGGTCTTTAGGACTCACAGGATATTACTGGCGGTTTGTAAAAGGCTACGGTTCCATAGCTAAACCTCTTACCCAGTTATTAAAGAAAAATTCGTTTGGCTGGAGTACTGAAGCTCAGGAGGCCTTTGACACACTCAAAACAGCTATGACCACGGTGCCCGTTTTATCGATACCAAATTTTGAGCTTCCCTTCGAGATTCAAACAGACGCCTCAGGAGCTGGAATAGGGGCTGTTTTAGTCCAGAGGCCAGACCAATTGCGTTCATCAGTAAGGCGTTTTCTCTTCAATCACGGCTTAAATCCGCCTATGAACGGGAACTTATGGCTATCGTCTTTGCTGTACGGAAATGGAGTCACTATCTCATTGGCCGCAAATTTATTATAAAGACGGATCAACGAAGTTTGCAATTTCCTACCGACCAAGGGGTTAAAACACCAGATCAGCACAAATGGATCTCTAAGCTCATGGGGTACTCATTTGACATTCACTATCTCCCGGGCAATTCTAACAAGGTGGTTGATACCTTGTCCCAACGGGAAGACACACATGAACTCATTGCCATCACTACGGTTCAGTTCATGGATTATGACGCTATAGCGGCTGAAGCACAAGCTGATCCAAAGCTCAAAATTATTGTTCAAGATCTTCTGTTCGACCCCAGCAGCCGTCCTCATTACATGCTTCGCAAAGGGTGTTTATTGTTCAAACACAGGTTAGTCCTTCCAAAAAATTCATCATTCATTCCGAAACTACTTGAGGAGTTTCATTGTAGTCCGAGTGGGGGCCACTCTGGTTTCTTTCGAACTTATAAGAGAATTGTTGCTGTGGTGTTTTGGGAGGGTATCCGACAAGATGTGATGAAATTTGTTCAGTCTTATGCTACCTGCCAAATTAACAAACACTCCTCTCTACGTCCTACGGGGTTGTTACAGCCCCTGCCTATCCCAACCCAAGTGTTTGATGATCTCTCAATGGATTTTATAGGAGGTTTGCCGAAAGCAAAAGGGGTTGACACTATTTTTGTGGTTGTCGATCGTCTCACAAAATACTCTCATTTCTTGTTATTGACCCATCCTTATACTGCCAAAGACGTTGCTACTGTGTTTATCGGTGAGGTGGTAAGACTTCATGGATTTCCACAATCCATTGTCTCGGATCGTGATAGGGTCTTCATGAGCCAATTTTGGCAAGAGTTGTTTAAATCTGCAGGTACCTCTCTTAAATTTAGCTCTGCCTACCATCCCCAAACGGATGGACAAACGGAAGTGGTCAACCTGTGTTTAGAAGCCTACCTCTCCTGTTTTTGCAGCTCCCAATCCCGACAGTGGCCCAAATGGTTAGCATGGGCTGAGTTTTGGTACAATACTATGTACCACAGCTCCACCAAAATGACCCCCTTCAAAGCTTTGTATGGGCGAGACCCTCCCATTCTGTTTAAACTCGCAGACTGCCCTCCTTGATTGAAGATGTCAACCGCAAGATTAAGGACCGAAATGCCATATTGGACGACCTTAAGCACAATTTGGATGCTGCCCAAGAACACATGAAACAGTCTGCCGATGCACACCGCCGGGAGGTGTTGTTTCAACCAGGGGATTACACTAATTTGAAGCTCCAACCATATCGGTTTTGGTCCTTAGCTAGGAAGCTCAATGAGAAGCTAAGTCCTCGCTTCTATGGCCCCTTTAAGGTGTTAGAAAAGATTGGCCCAGTGGCTTACCGACTGGAACTGCCTCCTACTTCTCGTATCCACCCAGTGTTTCATGTTTCCCAACTGAAACCAAGTCTCCATTCTTCAGTTCCTGTTCAACAGCTCCCCTCGTTTTTAACTGAAGACTTAGAGCTACAGGTGCAACATGAAGACGTTCTGTCCACCCGCAAATTGTTGGATGGTTCCCTAGAGGTTCTGATTAAATGGCGGGACCTTCCTCCATTTGAAGCTTCGTGGGAGGCGTATGATGTGATCTTGCTGCAGTTTCCGGATTTTCACCTTGAGGACAAGGTGGATCTCGAAGGCGGGAGTATTGATACACCTCCTATAACCAAATTGTACAAAAAGAAGAAGAAAAAGGGCAACCTGGTCATTTCAGTGGACGAGGGCAGCAAGGGGAATTCAGATTGGAATTAGTTAAGGGGAATCTCCACGTAAGGGAGTGCGGAAAGTGTGAATTCAGTTATATATAAAGAGAGCAGTAGCTAGCTGTAGGTAGGGAGGAAATCTGGAAAATATTGGGAGGTGCTAGGCCCTCGAAGTGCTAGCAATCTTTTTATCTTTTGTTATCGTTTTTGCCATTGTTGTTATCACCTGCTGCTTGCAGAGTTGTCCATTTTAATTCCATATATATATATCTAGAATATATACTATATTAATAGGGTTGCAGGGACAGACTACATCTTGATGTGTCCAGTAGGATCCATAAAATATTGAAAGAAGTGGGAATTTAGAGACCTTCAACCCATAACTTCTCCAAACTAAAAAGAGAAAACACAGAAAATCTTTCTAAAATATTGATCACGTTCTTGTATCATTTAACATCTCACCACCAAATTAACCACCATTAATCTCCATACAGTTCAGCACATCTTGCCATATTTTTAACATGACGAAATAGACAGCAATGACCTCTTGTGCAATTACTACTGCAGCTTCAAGCAACCACCCATCAAAATAGGCAATTCTAGCGCCATCCAACGCAAATAACAAAGTTGATAGCGGAAGGTCAGATGGCATCAAGGGAGGATATCCAAGGGTGACAATACAAGTACGAGTTTTCCTGAAAATTATAACTAACAATTAATCAACTGGAAATGCAACAAGCAAAAAACAAATTGGGTATTTGATGATTCCTTTAATTCAAAGCTCACTCAGTATTCCCACACATAAACTGAATCAGTGGCACTAAGAAAGGTTGTTAAATAAACTGGATCAGCAGAGAGAGCAAAGCAATTAATGCTTACATTTGGCTGTCAACGATTACATAGGAAAATGTTGAATTACCTTCCTCAGAAACCTGCCATAAGAAAATGGGAATATATATACATATAAGATTAAGAATAAAATAACAATTAGATGTTGCACAATTGGCAACTCACAATCAAGCTAAGCAATACATTAAGAATAATTAATTAAAATAAACAAATTATGCTGATATATAAATTTTTTATAATATAGTGATATACAGCCATTGATAAGTGATACAAGAGTACTGAAATATCTGAAACAAACTTACAGAGATAATTTTCAATTAAAATAAATAAATTACTTAAAACTTTATTTGTGGTTAAGTGGCAATTGAAGCTTTCTTAAAGCTTACCACCAGAAAAGAAGTATTGATACCATCAGCTTCAAACTCTTTCAATATACCTTTGCCTTGAGGATCATTGGAAATCTGGTGATAAGACACGAAGACAATTAAAATACTGCGAAGATTAGAACAAAAAGAGTTGCTTTTAGAAGTAGATAAATAAAGACCTTGGAAATTATCCTAGGGTTTAAACCCAAACGAGCTGCGCAGGTTAACGCATTCCCTGCATTGCCACCACCTTCAACCTTAAACCAGTACACTAAAAGCATTGTCATATACTATACAACGGAGTCTAGAAAGTATAATGAATATGTAAAAGATATACCTTGAAGTTTATACTTCTGATCTTATCGTCAGGCTCGGGGTAGGCAGCCACTACCGTCAGGAAATCCAATGCCACAGCACCACATCCTACCTGTAAACAACAAGCGCCTCCGCTTCATCATTAGCTATAGGGATAAATAACCAGCACGTATAGAGAGAGCAACGCACTACGATTCGGCTTTGAGGGAGAGGAGGAAGAGAATCTGACGACATTTTGAACCTGCGTATCTCCAATGAGATCATAAGAATTATTCAAATAGATTGAAATTAAAAAATAAAAATAAGGAAGAGAAAGATCTCTGAGATTCAATATAAAACATAAACGTCCAAGAATTTTGTGAAATTTTATTTAGAAAGTGTCTTGTTGAATGATGAAGAAACAAAATCAGTGAACTAAGTCAAATAAAAACTTCAAGAGGCCACCGATTGACCTCATAGTCATTGATTATTTAAGTAATAATGATAAAGCGCTGTGGAAAATTGAGTACAGATAAATATGAGAGAGTGAGAACCTGGAAGTGTTAGCCGTTGAAACAAAGAGAGAGATGGTGGAGCGCCTAGGTAGTAAAGACGTTGAAGAGTTGGAGAGAAAGTTGGAAGAAAATGAAATGGCATCAGAACATGTTGACATTGACAGGGAGAACATGTTTCTGGTTTTGGCGTTCAGCGATGCGCGTAAGTCGGGGTAAACAGATTATATGAGAAAGATATATTAGGGAAGCTGGACCCCTTTCAAGACTTCCAATTTCCAAGACAAGTCAAGACTTTTCCTTTTTTTGGGCTATCCTCGTAACAAATTATATTAGGTTTTACAATCTGGAGTGGTCATTACTCATTATCATTAAAAGAGATTCGAGAGATGTATCATCTGAAATAATCTTTGACCAGGACTTACAAAAATTTTCAAATAAAAATTAGAAATGTAAGCAATTGGGTAGACATTTTTCATGCGTTCCCTAACACATAATATAAAGAGAGAATGGTTTCCATTTCGAAAGGATTGAAACGATTTCCAGCTTAGTGGGGGTAAGAGAAATAATCCGAAAACCAAATCGAAAATTAGGTTTTTCTGTAAACCGGTTCAGTATGTAAAAAATTAAAAACCAAAAAACCAGTTCGGTTTTCGATTGGGGAGATTTTCCAAACCAGTTTCACCCTATGTATATAAATAAAATATGTTTTAATTTTTTTGCCCCTTTTTTTAATATCTCTTATTCTCTTCTCCACCTCCACTCTCACTCTCCATACCCCATCTTCACTTTTCATTCCCTTCTCTGCCTCCACTCCACTCTCCAGACTCCATCTTCACCAGCGCCACCCACACCCACCACCAAATTGCAACTCCAAACCCATCCATCTGCAATATCGCCAACGCAATTTCGTCGACACACCTCCAGTGACCACCACAACCACCCACTCACCCAGCGACAACCACAGCTGCTACGCTGCAGTTCCTTGAACCAGGCACAATGACGACAGTCGACCATGGCTCCAGTTTCCATCGCCGTTCAGATCTTCAATCCTCAGTTGCTCGCTTACTCCACAATCAATAGTCCACCGCCAATTTAGCAACCTAATGCATATTCTAATTCAACAAGAGATCTGATAAATATTTTGATGGATACTTCTAATTTTTAGAGGCTCTAATACTATGAATTATTCAAACACTTTACTTAGTTTGGTTGTGATAAATCATACTTTATCACCATATTATGTTTAGCAAAAGTAATTATGGTTTAGCAGTGCCCTTTTTTTATATTATCTCTATGAAATTTTTTGCCATCAGTTTTCAATTTCGCTAAGGTTTCTTTACTAGGATCATGATGACCATTTTCCTATCAATTTTGTTCACGTTAATTTGAAAACCGATTTGAAAATTGGTTAACCAGATAATTGAACTGAATATTCGATTTGGTTTAAATTTAATTTATTCTATAAACTGGTCCGGTTTCGGTTTACATTTTTGCCTAAACCAAATAAGCAGTTCGGTTTCCGATTTACCCTATCCGATTCGGTTAACCGGATTATCCCACCCTGAGCTTAGGATGAAACAGTCGGTTGATACAGCATGGATCCAAGAATAATTTTTTAGCGGAAATATAATACAAGGAGTATGCAACTTACACCTCCAACTTCGTATACTAATGAATCAAGACCTTCAAAATTAGAAGCCAAGGGCCAAACATGAAAACCGCAAGAATCTCAGAGGCCAATTGACCTCTTACTACTGAAAAACCCAGGGCCTTAACTGTACAATTAAAAAAAAAAAAAAACACTCAGTAAAGAAACCTCAAGCCCAAGATCCTTCGTTCCAAATATGCCTAGAAAGGAGTCCCCCGTGTTCACTCATACTCCCTCTTAACCTATAAAAGCTTGCTTTACTTCGGACTGTTCGCAAGGGGCCTGATCTATTCCCATGCCTAATTGGTAAAGACACGCCATCCCCGCCCAAACTTGAAGCTGAAAACGCTCTGTTTTCCACATCTTCAAGTGGACCAGAACTGTACTCCATTGTTATGAAAGAAGAGGCCTGTCCATATCTTAATCGCGGAGTGAGTGCGCCGGCATTCCACCAACTGCTATCTGATGGTGCAAACTCACCTTTAAAGTCAGAATCTTGAACAGAAGACTCCTTTTGGCTACAGCAATCCCCACAGGTTTCATCTGTGTCGTTATATATCAATTTCAGAGCCTGCACAACTTCACCCATAAATGGTCGGTGAGTCACCTCAGGGTGAACACACATGGAAGCAATGGCTGCCACCTTTGCCATGTCATCGAAGTCATAACTTCCAGCCAAGGAAGGATCCACCAACTGCTCCAAACCTTCTCTACTGGTCAGTAGAGGTCGTGCCCAAGTTACAAGATTTTCTTGTCCCTCAGGTTGGGACATATCCACAGGTTTTCTTCCAGACAGAAGCTCAAGTAGCACAACCCCATAGCTATAAACATCACTCTTCACGAGTAAATGACCCGTCATTGCATATTCCGGGGCTACATACCTGCAAATCCATAAAATTCACATTCCATCAAAATCTGACACACAGAAATGGCAGCAAAAAGTACAAACTGTCAGTCATGGTGACAATGGGCTCAGGAGTTATTTGGCCAAGGAAATTCTCTGAATTTTTAGATTAAAAAATTAATAGAATGTGAACACTGAACAGGATTAACACTCCTGAACCCATTGTCATGGTGACACAATGGGTTCAGGAGTTATTTGGCCGAGGAAATTCTCTGAATTTTTAGATTAAAAAAAACCTTTAATAGAATGTGAACACTGAAAAGGATAATATCTGAACATGAGTTCACGGTAATAATTTGGCAATGTGAGATTATGATGTACTAAGTAGTTGAGTGAAATTCAAAGTACCCAAAAGTTCCCATGACGCGAGTAGAAATATGATGACTGCCTTCAGTTGCTTCTCTGGCCAATCCAAAATCTGAGACCTTCGGTGTAAAGTCATCTTCTAGTAAAACATTGCTAGCCTTAAAATCTCTGTGGATCACACGAGGGTTAGAATCTTCATGAAGATAAGCCAATCCTCTTGCTGCTCCAAGGGCAATCTTCATACGTGCTTCCCAGTCAAGAGGTCCTCTTTTGTTATCAACACCTAGAACATCAATATGAGAGAAACTTATGATAATTTTTTTATTTTTTATTTATTTTTATATCAACTAGAATCAGACAAAGACTGAATCAGTATTGCCACATAAGAAGAATTTAATGTGTGGTAAGGTGGAATTTGTAATTTCATATCACTAAAGCAAAATGCAAAATGGAGTGATTCAGCTTAATATAGCAGTTAAAAGGTCAAAGAGTGAACGGACATACCATGTAAGTGGGACTCAACACTGCCATTATGAACAAGTTCATAAACCAAGCAGCGTGTGCGTCCTTCAATGCATATACCAATCAATTTCACAAGATTACGGTGATGTAATCTGCTTAGCATCTCTACTTCGGCAATAAATTCACGGTCCCCATTTTGATTATTCCTTGTAAGCAACTTAACTGCAACTTCCATTCCATCTTCCATAGTACCACGATAAACACGTCCAAACCCTCCTTCCCCCAAAATCCTCTTTGAACTGAATTTCTCAGTAGCCTTGTCAAGCTCAGAAAGCGAAAATGTTTTAACAGAGAGAATACAAGTAGCCATAGTGGACATCAGGGACACTGAGGTCGAGCTCGCCATACTACTAGATAAAATAGACCCAATGCCTGCGTTACACATAAAATCCAAATACCTTCATTTTATTAAAAATAATGTAGATAAATTCAGACTGGATTACTGGAATCTAACTAAGCTTTCACTATCAGAGATGCTAACATAACAAATAAGATACAAATACCTTCATTGTATGACACTACTGTACAACAAATTCGAGACATGTGAAAACTACAATCAATTACATACTTACCAGATCTTTTGTTTATAGATGATGTAAATGCTGGACCCACAGCATTTGATGGCCTTCTAGCCTTCCTCCATTTTACAAGGATGGCGATTGCTCCAATGAACACCAGTAATACTACAAATGCAGACAAAGCAATGATGCAAATGGTTCTCAGATTCATCCTCTGGCTTTTATTGACAAAATTTGCAGTGATAGGGAGGCCTCCAACACTTCCACTAGGACCACTCCCCATGTAACTCCCATATGGGGGAGAAGAAGGAAGCCCTGAGAAAGAATTTTACTCATAAACACATGTAACAAATAAATTGGCAAGTAGTAGATTTTAGAGTTGAGGAGGTTCCTACCTGGATAACTTATATAAATGGCTTCATAATTACCGAAGAGAGTTGTATTCAAAGGAACTTTCTTATGCACCAATCTTTCATATGTCAGATTAGCAGTGGTGTTATCAAACTTATCTCCCAGTGGAACCAAGTTCATTTCTACAACTGTCTTTCCCTGATTTTGACTATCAGCACTGGCACCCATAATTTTCACTTGACTCTGTTGCAAATAAGTTCCTGCTGCAACTTCAATCTCAAGCTCATTCATAACAGGAAAAACAGCATAAGGAGCTACATCCAAAAGAAGCTTGACTTTCATGGGAAACACACAACCACAAGGTGAACCATAGGGAGCAGCAGTAAATGGCTCCACACAAATTTGATCACAACCTACAGAAGACTAAGTTATCAGTACACAATGTACAAAATACCTCATAAGAGACAAACTGTACCCTGAAAAATTTACTGTTAAACCAATGCAACAATACAACATAGAGCAACTTGAACGAACTATACTATAAAGCCCAAGATTAAGACAATGGTTATCATAAAAGAAGTTTGTAACTGTAAACCATTCCACTCTAAAAGAAAGTGCTAAGCAAGGAAATCATAAGCACAAATTTTTAGTGTAAAAGATTTTCTTACACCATAACTAGTCTCTGAATAACAATGTAAAGGTTAGTAACCATAAAATTGGCTTTTGAGTCGATTTAGTATAGTATGAGCACTATTGCAAGATTTTTGTTCAGAAAACCCAAATTCAAGAGCAGAAAAGAAATCACCAGACAACACAGAAGAATTCATATAGCCTAAAGAAAACGAAGTTCTAGACAAATTTTGATCTTTCTTTTGTTCTCTTTAAATTACAGAGACTCAGTATAAATTTCCAATGGGTGATTCCTGACATCTGAAAAGAGTAGAGAAAATTGAAGTTTTGGCAAATAGCTATGCATCATCTAATACTTCTTTTCCAATGCTAGCCATAGTGGCAACATAGATCCTCTTGTTTATATCTCCTTCACCTACCCTGTGAGACTCCACTCTGTTCTACACAAACTGCTGGCAAATATCTATATAATGGTGAAGAATACCATAATACAATTACTCTTTACCAATGAATAGATGAAGCATAAATCAATTTAATACTCATGAATTTCTTTGTAACTTCTCCACCATCCAATGGTCAGGAAAATTGACAGAGAGAGAGAGAGAGAGAGAGAGAGAGAGAGAGATTCTACAACACAATTGAAAAACCATCAATGAAATATTACCTTGTCCTTCAGAAGTAGATGGAGTGACCACACGAGGCTTCGCATGATGATGATGACCACCATGACGATGCCTTGGAATTGGATGAATCCTAGGACCTGCAACGAAGGCTGAAATAGAGAAGATAAAATCAGTTACTTTTTTTGCAACAATGTGATGGCAAGATGCTGAAAACATGACCATGCTACATACCTTGATGGATAGGAGAAGGTGCGGGTGCCAGATAAGGTCCCAGCAAAGGCTTAACAACACGTGTTCGGCTTCGCCTTGATTTTGGAAATAACAACCTCATGGAAATTCCCCTAGCTGCTGGCAGTACAGATACCTCATAAATTATCCATGTGTGAACATTTGAAAATTTTTGGACATGAATTAAACCTTTCCAAATCAAGGTTGGAACAAAGGAATGAAACATATAATAGAAAAATCCACTAATCAGCAATTTATAGTAATTTCCAGCCTTACCATGTTCTACTAAGACTACTCTAGTTGATGACGGCTGATTTGAGTGTACAGAAGGAGGTAAGTATATGTGGAATAAAGAATGCCCTGAAATTAAACAAAGCATGTTTGTTAGCGTTCTTCACTACGCCAAACCTTATAATTGACAATACAACTGTGTCGGATAAAACCAGTACAACTACAAGCATATGAATGACATCACAACGATATTTTACAATGAAGACAAAAATGCAATATTGAAAATAAGATCATTCTTTGGAAAAGATAAATCACAGATAATTGTTGCGAACACTTTAAGAGACCTCAAAGATTTTAATTTCCTTTCCTACGCCTATGCTGAAAACGAAGATCAAAACAATCTTCTCACTTTGGTCCCAATTAATTACATCCTGTATATTCGTAAGTCTCTCACGGAAGCACATCTAAAGTTATATATTCCAGAGCCTTTCCATTCTAATCTTTAATTTCAAAAATCAATTGAATATCCTACTATTACAAATCAATATAGAAAGTAGAAAGTATATACATCAATGTCTAATGCAATGTCACACACATGCAATATATAAGCAAAACAAGGCTCCAACAGGAAAGAGAAAAATATCACAAATCATTGAATTTGATATAACTTTCACAGGGCCAGTTATTTTACATTATACATCTAAAGATGCTGAAACATTAATAAGATACGGAAACTGTTGCAATCCGTACCACCATCCTAGTTTTACAATTTTCTTTGAATCAAAGAAAACTACCATTAGCTTAGCTTGGGGGAAGGACTAAATTGTCTCTATTAATCAACGCTTCACAAAGGTTTGCAAAAAACTAAAAAGACAATTATTTAGTAAGAGAGTAACAAAGAAGAATAAACGCTTAATCGTTTGATGACGTGTTTCAAGTTCAAGTTAGCTAGTCGACAAAAAATGTATCTGCTTCTTGTCCAATTGTCTCTACATGATAGACAAGAACCGAACTTAGCTGCTTAGCAATTATTTAATACCGAAAACGCCAAAACTAAACTTCCAAAAGGCTAAATACAGACAAAAGGCATCGTTTTTCCCAAAAAAAAACTCGAGGCTTTCTTGCCCTCAGATAAAATGGCGTAAAGTAGAACGACATTAATCTTAAAGAGAATAATACCTAAACATGAGGAAAGAAAACTGAGGAGGTGAAGAATAAGGAGAGTTAAAGTAGGCATCTTCTCGCTTTAAACCGAAATCCAAACAGAACATTGTCAACAAACAACACTGTCCAGCTCAACCACCTCGCTGGAGACTGACCGTAGCTTCCTTTGGTTTCGTCGAACCACTTGCCGCCGGAAAACCTCTCCATCACACTCCGTCGCCACAATAAAACACTCCATGATTATAAATAGCTACCACGAAGCCATCACATGACCTCAGCTTCGAGTTCCAAAAGAGCAGAAAATAAATAAAACCCTAGGAGAGAGAAAAGAAAGACAATGTAGGTAGCCCCAAAATTGAAAAAATACAGATCCGTAAAACGCGGTAAAGATCTAGCAATAGAAACAAATACAGATACAGAAACAGATGCTGTAAAGAGAGCGCGTAAAATGAAGGATCTACGGAGAGCGAGAGAAGAGGAGAGAAGAGAATAGAATAGAGAGATCTTGAAATGAAATGGAGGGCGAAAGAAAAATGGGTGGGGTTTTTGATTGAAGGGTGTGAGAGTTTGGTGAAGCTACACAGGGTAAGAGAGAGAGAGAGAGAGAGAGAGAGTGAATGTATACGAGATAGAGTGAGAGAGAGTGTGTGGGAGGTGGTGGGGGCCTTTATTGCTTGTGTGTAGCAACGGCAATGCTCTACTGCCTATGGAAATTAATGATGACTGTCTGGTCCACGCGTTGATTAAGGCGCGTGGTAGAGACGGCTTCGTTAAACGACAAAGGAAGGGCCGTTTGCTACCGTCACTTGGCAACTGAATTTCAGAAAAGTTAATATAAAAAAGGCCAAAAGAAATGGAAAGGGTATATCGTTTCTGCGTTTTTTGACTTATGGAAAGGATATAAAAAAAGGCCAAAAAGATTTCCTTAAAGCTATGAGCCTTTAATACTACCATGTGGAGCTCAGCTTGTATATAATGTGTTTAACATATGAAAAAGTAAAATTAAAAGAGTTCCCATTTTTTTAACTGTACCTTCCTTCATTGTTTAGAAATTTCCTGATGATCATATAGATGATCACTATTTAATGATCTCGTTGTTCTAGAACCCAAATGAAACTGGTTTTAAATTAGAAAAAAAAGTTTATTATGTTTCACTCATCCATCGTTCGGGTGAAATACACATATCATTTCGGTTAGATGTTTTTTTAACTAAAATTTCGTTAATAAACATTAGTTTCATTTGGGTGACGTAAATAAATGTCATAAAAAGATAATACATACTTGTGGATCTAATTTTTACATAAACGGGTTTTATGTCCGATAAGGACTAGTGTTTACTTTCTATTTTAAATACTATGTGTTAGCTTTCCTTTCCAGCAACCGTATAAACAGTTGGAAGGTTTCTGTAATTTAACGTCGATTTTTCACCAAAACTATTGCTCATTTTACTCAATTTATTCAAGTATCTGACGTTGTGCTACGTTCAACTTAAATGATCACTAACATTACGCTTACGGATATATAATACATCATATAACCATATTATATGATTATTCTTTTCTTTTTATTTCTTCATTCACTGTAGATTTCTTTTAAATTCCAATTATGTAAAGTAAAAAAATACAAAAAAAAAAAGGTCTAATTACAAATTATTATTTTTCTAAGTGTCTGGGTATTTGTTAACTACCAAAAAAAAAAAAAAAAACATATATATATTATCACCAGAGCTGTTGGGGCTAGGCATGGCAATGTTCCATGAAATTCCAGAGACCCGCCCCATATGGGAGACTTTATGTATATATATATATATTATCACCAGAAGTGTCCAAACCAGATAAGAGTCTCAATGACCACCTCTATTTTTATCTTAAGACCATTTCTAATCCATTGCACCAATTTAGTACAAAATTACATCAAATTGGTGCAAAATACTATTCCATCTCCAACTCACAACACCAAATATTACACTAAAAAGAATATTCCTTATAATATTCTTTAGAATATTCTTTTTTTTTTATATTATAATAATCAACAATTAATCTATTTCATTTATTATTTTTGTATATATTAATTAAAATTGGGAAATATATTTTTATTAAATAATAATTATTTTAAAAATTATACTAATTTAATAAAATTAAGCATTTATTTAATCAAATTTGGTGTGATTTTTGGTATAAAATTTAATACTCAAATTAACTTAACAAAATTAAAAACAAAAAAAAAGCAAAATTAAAAAAATAATAATAATTATTCGCGCTACAGTGCCACGCTAAAATGGCGTGATGCTTTGGCGTGGGTTGGAGATGCCTTAAGAGATTTAACTTAGGAGTTCAAACTCTTTTTACTCTTTTACCATCAGACCTCGTAATAATAGTTTCATATCTAGTCATATAATTTACCCGACGTGGGTTGGAGATGCCCTAAGAGATTTAACTTAGGAGTTCAAACTCTTTTTATTCTTTTACCATCAGACCTCGTAATAATAATTTCATATCTAGTCATATGATTCACCCATCAAAAGGCCAAATCCAACCAATTCTTATTTCTTAATAAGAATCTTTTCCATTCAATCACTTATAAGCCCAATATATAATCCACTCATTATTCGGAAACATTCTACTTCACCAAATCACTTATGAACTTAAGATTTAACTTGTTTTTAAGTAACATTTTCCTTTTAAATCATGTAATGGTCTCAACCAACCTTTTGCTCCATATGGTGAATCTACGCACCTCTTTTAACTTTTGTTAAACGAGATATATCTTTTATGTACCTTTTTGGTGGATTCAAGAAAACCAAATGATATATGAAAAAAGTGAGTTAACTCTAATACTACTTGAGTACTTGTCACAAATTGAACTTTTACCTAAATGATGTTTTGTGCTTTTGAGAGCTTTAGGACCTAATTCATTTTTATACAATATAAGATTGCATAAGGCCCTCTATGCTCAAAAGCCAACGAGTTTTGCTAGGGTGTTATCACCTCTTCCCTTAGCTTAGTTGTTGGTCATGACTTACATATTTATCTCAACTTTTTTAATGAATATTTATTCTATGATAATACTTTAATAATATTGAAAATTATATAGATACTTGGATTAAATTAACAATCATGGAAATTATGAATAATATTATTTGCTACATATTTTAAAAGACCCTCTAAATTTTGATATTAGTTACATGTAATTTCATATAACATTAACATATTATTTGTTATATCATAACTTTATTTACATGTTAATACCATATAGAATAAAATATTATCTATGATAAAATTTCAATATTTCTTTTAGAATGTATAATAAATTAAAGTTGTAACATAAAAAATAAAACTTTGAACAATAAGGGGCCGTTTGGATCGGGGGTAAATAAGATAACGGGGTAATTTTCGTTTATTTTGCAAGATTCTTGTGCTTGGTTTGCAAGTAATGAAATATTATGGCAATCTTTTATTGCAAATAGTGTTTACTGTTAGTAATGTGGGAGGTAATCTTATTACCTTGTTCGGGGGTGTTATTAAAACATTATCGGGGTAATCTAATTTTTCTACCCATTTTGCCTTTAATTAAAAACCATTTCGGACACAATTGCCCTCAAATGTCTACCAAATAACAATTACCCAGCCTCTCTACAATTGAGAAATTAGTTAAAACACCTCAACCACAAAAAAGTTTAAAAGTTAACAAAATACCCCCAGCCAACCAAGACCACTGCTGACCGTGACTCACCACCACCGTCGACCATTTGTGTCAATCGCTGTAATGGTGCACGACCGACGAGATCTGGCCGTTCATACGTCGATAAGGCATTTTCCAACCATAAATCACATATTCATGGCCGGAAACGACTAGATTTGGCGTTTCTATGGTCGTTTCATGGCCAAAGATGTGGTCATGAAACAGCCACAAATCTAGTTATTTCTCGGCCATGGATTTGTGATCCATGGCCATTTCCAGCTTTGCCGGCACACGGCTGGCCATTCTGTCGATTGCTGTTGCAACGCCAGCCAACCAGTGGTGGTTGGCTACCGGCAATCGCTTGGGGTGGGTGTGGGTGATTTTTCTATAAATTAAAGTTTTATATAACTATGGTGTTTTAGCAAAATTTCAAATGTATGGGGGTAAAAGAAATTATTCAACAAAAAATAAAAAAATACTATTATATTAATATTTAAAAAGGAGGGCAATTTAGTAATCTATGTAACATACCCACTAATTTATCCTCTCAACCAAACATATTATTCACCAATTTATTTGAACCAACCAAACACATTTTCTAAACATTCCCAATAATCTTTAAGATTATCTTTCTTTCCGTTTATATAATATACCCTTATAATAAACATTATATGGTCCAAATGCCCCCTAAATGTAATAGTTATTAAAGTTGGAACAACTAAACATGAACCTATTAGGATATTATTAACAATCTTGAAATATGTGACTATAAACTTGCAACAACGTTAAGGGTGTGTTTGGTTCAAAAAATATTGTATTATTAGAAATGTTATATTAATGGAAAGATAGATTACCTTGAAGATTATTGAGAATGTTTAGGGAAATGTGTTTGGTTGGTTAGAATAAATTAGTGGGTATGTTATATTAATATGTTTGGTTGGGAGGAATAAATTGGTGGGTATGTTATATAATTTACTAAACTGCCCTCCTTTTTAAATATTAATATAATAATATTGTTATTTTTTTTTTTTTAAATAATGTTTTCTAACCTCATACATTTCAGATTTAGCTAAAATACCCCAGCAACAAAAGAAGTTTAAAACTTAACAAAAACACCCTCACCCACCCCAAGCCACTGCCGGCCGCTTGCCACCACCATAGGAGGAGGCAGTAAAAGTGGAGATCTGGCCGTGAAATGCCAGATATTTGACCGTGAAACAATGGTCGTTTCACGTGTAGATCGTGGCCTTTATTTGGCCATGAAACGGCCACAGATTTAGCCGTGAAAGGCCATATATGGCTGTTTTCAGCCATGGATCACAAATCCATGGTAAAAAACAACCTTATCGACGCACGACCGACCAAATATGGCTAGTTGTACATCATTTTGTCGACAACGGTGGTGGCCAGATCTAGTCTCCATCCTTGGGTAATTTATTTTTTAATTTTAGGGGTATTTATGTCCTAAAAACTTTGTATATAAGGATAAAATAGTCAATTGGTATTTTTGTAAATTGTTTTTAAAACAAGGGCATTATTGTCCTAAAATTGTATTAATAAGGGGTGAAATTGTAACAAAAATAAAATTAATAAGTAATCTTAAAATACCTAAAAAAACCTAAAAAATGGAGGTAATTAGATTACCGGAATCTTATATTACTTGACAATCAAACATAGTAATAAAGTAATATAAGATGACATTACCTCAATAATCTCGTATAACCCCCAACCAAACACACCTTAAAAGTTATAGGATACGTTTGGTTGGGGGTAATCCCCCATTGCTGTAATAATCTCATGTTATATTACTGACATTGTCATGTTTGGTTGTAAGTAATAAAAGATTTCGGTAATCCTTCAATATCAATAGTAATTACTGTAAATTATATAGGTAGCAATTCGAATACCACCAATTTCTTATGTATTTTAAGATTACTTAGTAATCTTAATTTTGTTACAATTTTACCCATAATTAATACAAAATTTGGACAACAATGCCCTTGTTATGAAAATAATTTACAAGAATATTCATGGACTATTTTAACCTTATACACAAGATTTTTAAGAATTATTACCCTTGTATTTCCACCAAATTACATCCCCAATTAATACCTCAGTCATCTAGCACCACAGTTGATCGTCGACCACCACTGCCGATGGTAAAATGATGATCAAATATGAGGGGAGATAGATCAGGTGATGGGGAGTCCAAATAGGTAGTTGGGGAGCCCAAACATCTCCAGAAAGTGAGCGAAATCAGGCAAAGAAGCTGAATGATCGCTGTGGAAAAACAAAGAATTTCTTGTTGAATCTCAACAGAATGAGGTGGATCAACGACAAAGGAGAACAAGGAAGGTGGATAGGCACCTGGGGAGTCAAATGGTTACTAGAAAACGGAAAAATCATGGTCGGAATATGAAAGGTCGCGGCGGGGAGGTGAACGAATGCACAATCGACGATGGAAACGATGAGAAGATTACGAGTGAAGGGTGATTGGTGCTTGGGGAAGTCGAAGAGCCGCCAGAGGTTGCTGGAAAATGGTGAAAAATCGGCTGGGGTTTGGTGATAGGTGGTGGCCGGCAACCGACAATGGTCTTGGGTGGCTAGGGGTATTTTGTTAAATTTTAAACTTTTATTATAGCTGTGATATTTTAGCTAAATTCTCAAATATAGGGGGTTAAAAAAAATCCAAATAATAAATAATAATATTACAAAAGAATGACAATTTAGTAAAAGACATCTCCCATAATTCTTTTATTACTTCCAACTAAATATATTAATTATTTATACCCACCAATTTATTCCAATCTAACCAAAAATATTTAATATAACTTTCTTAATAATTTACTAGGGTACGTTTGGTTCAGGAAATGTTATAATAATAGAAAAAAAGATTAGCTTGAAAATTACTGAGAATGTTTAGGGAAATGTGTTTGGTTGGTTGGAATAAATTATTGAGTATGTTATATTAATATGTTTGGTGAGTATGTTATTTAAATTACTGAATTGTCCTTTAAATAATAATAATAATTATATTATTATTTAGACTATTCATAACCCCCCTACATTTAAAAACTTAGCAAAAACAACCCCATAATAAAAGTTTGGAAAATAAAAAATGCACCCCCACCAACCCAGCCACTGTTGACCGCCAGCAACCATTGTCAGCCATTGGCAGCTGACAACCTAACGGCGCACGGATGGCCAGAAATGGCCTTCGTGCATCGATATGGCCATTTTCGGCCAGAGCTATCGACGTGGCATTAATGGCTATCGATCTGGCCGGAAATGACCAAATTAGATCTACTCGTTTTCTGACCAAATCGGTTCACGACGACCATTTTCGACCGTCTGTACGCCATTCCGGCGACGGCAGGTGGGTCAAGGTGGTGGCTTAGGTGGGCTACAATTTGTTTTAAATTCAAGGATAATTTTGTCCAAAAAGTTAATTAATTAGGGTAAAATTATAAAAGCAAGATTCATGTAAATTAATTTAAAAATAAGGGCATTATTGTCCTAAAATTTTATTAATAAGAGATAAAATTGTAACAAAAATAAGATTACCTTGGTAATCTTAAAATACATAAGAAAATTGAAGTAATCAGATTATCTCTTATATTACCAACAGTAATTACTATTAGTTATGGAAGATTACTGGAATCTTATATTACTTGACAATCATAAGATGACATTACTTCAGTAATCTCACTTACCTCCCAACCAAACGCACCCGTAAGGTAATCTATCTTACCATTAATATAACATTCCCCTGAATCGAACACCCCATAGTGTTAACTTCAGATAGGTAATCATGAACATAGATGTTGTAATATTTAACGTTAGCTTAATAAGTCATGGATTTATATATGTAAATATAATATGCACATTAAATTCATAACTATAATAATTATAGGGAGTTAACGACTTTTTCTCACTCAAATAATAACTTAACAACACTTTTCCATCACTTTACTATCCAAATTTATATTCGTGTGATGAACTGAGAGCAAACTCGATTTAAATTATTGGGGCTTTTGAAGAGAGGAGGCCGGTAAGTCTTTTGGTGGTAGAAGATTGGATTTTAATGGTTAGGATTTATCAGAATTTAACTTGGGAGGAGCGACTATGCAAATCCTAATTGCTCAATTGCTTGTAGTTGGCAAGGTCAACGGAAATAGGATTTGAGAGGTTTTGGTGAATAATGACCGGGGAAGAAAATAATGGTGGTGTGAGATCTTAATGACATTAAAATTGAAAATAAAATATAAATTTGAATAATAAAATAGTATTTGAAAAATATATACCATTATTTGGATAATGAAAAAATCGTTTACCACGCTGGCCCAAACAATAGAAACTGAAACGAACCCGTTCACCAAACAAACGACACCGTACTGTTATTTTTAGAAAGGCCGAAGCCGGCTATTTGCGNTAAATAATAAAATAGTATTTTAAAAATATGTAAGTGAGAAAGTGTTATTAAGCCGATATTTGGGTTTAGGGTTTAGGCTTTACCCTGCTGGCCCAAACAATAGAAACTGAAAACGAACCCGTTCACCAAACAAACGACACCGTACTGTTATTTTTAGAAAGGCCGAAGCCGGCTATTTGCGGATCCATCAACACAAACATTGCTTGCTACTTCAACTATCTTACCTCATTACTCCAGAACACTCACACCAGTTACCCAAATTTTGTATTTAGCTCAGTTATCTCTCTTTTTTTCTTTCCTTTTTCGTCTCCATGTCTGTCTCGTTCTCTTCGTTGAGGGCACTCACTTCTCCATCTCACAGTTCTGTACTCTTCATATACAAATCTCCGCTTATATTTCCACGTCAGCCTTTTACTCTCTTTAGTTGTTAGGAATCTTTTGCTAAGTCTCCGTATCTGGTAAGTTCCTCCGTTTACTTGTTGGTTCTTAGGTTTTTATTTTCGACTTATGATTAATTTTGGAAAATTTACGCTGCTGTTGTATCGATTTTTGTGAACTCATGGCTTGTGTGGCATAGAATTTGCCAATTTAATGGATAATTCAGAAATAATGATAGGTCCGAGAGCTCTAATAAAGAGGCATGAATTTGTGAGAGTTATAGTTCAATGTTTATATTCCTTAGGCTACAAGAACTCGGCTTCTTGTTTGGAGTCTGAGTCTGGAATATTATACAAATCTGTGGATTTTGAAAAGCTGGAACTGCAAATACTTAATGGGAATTGGGATGGTTGTATTGATACACTTAATGCAATTTCGGATTTGAATATGAACGATGAGATAAGAGCTTCGGTGTTGTTTTTGATATTTAAACAATGTCTTTTGGAGTATTTAAATCGTGGGGAGGAGTCATTGGCTTTGGATGTTTTGAGGAAACAAGTTCCTTCATTAATAGTGAGCAAGGAGAAAGTACACAAACTTGCTTCGAGTATCCTTTGCTTGGAGGAGAAAGAGTTGGGAAATATTGACGAGGATGATATTTCCGAGTTACGGAGGAGGTTGTTGGTGGAGTTGCAGAGACTGCTTCCTCCACCAGTTGTGTTGCCTGAAAGAAGGCTGGAACATCTTGTTGAAACTGCAGTTACATCGCAGATTGATTCATGTTTTTATCACAATTCACGTGTAGCAGTATCTTTGTATGAGGATCATTGCTGTGGTAGAGATCAGATTCCCACCGAGACTATTCAGGTGTGCTTTCTGCTGCTGTTGAAACTGTTATCTAGCATAGTAGTTTTTAGCTCAATCATTATATGAATTTTCTATAATTGCTTTGGGTAATGAAGACAGAGTATTTCTAATTGGCGTGTTGCCTTACATAATCAAGTTTATATATGTTGTAGAAACATGGAACTGGTAAACTGCTGTGTGCTAAATACACAAACTTGGATAGGTCCATGGATTAAGGCATGTTGAGTTTACGGGATCTCATTTGCTCTTGTCTCTTCTCAAATTTTTTATAACCTTCCAACTTACCAGTTGGTACAGGATGAAATTTCCCCCCAAATCTCTTTCCTTGAAATTATCTTTAGAATAGAGAATAACAATATTGACCACATTCCTTCCATAATCTTGATTTGTTGATGAGATTGTAGAAATTCCTTGTTGATCTATTCATGTGATTAGAGTATCGATCTGTTTTATTTACAATAAGGTCCTGGTTGGATGTCAACAACACATTTACCATTATATAAAAGAAATCCATAAGCTATTAGCTTATATTTATTGCATACAGTCATTTGTATTCTTCTTCTAGCATTTTATAGAAAGACACTTGTATATATGAATTTACTGGAGGGCCCCAGATTTATTGTTAATGTTGCAGCCTTCCCTCCTCCAAACATCCCCTTTTGCCTTTCCTTTTAGTTCCTGTAAAATTATATGTGCCTTGGCTTGAATGAATTAATGAACTGCAAACAATATGCTCTCATGGTTCCACCTGTGTTAAATTAAGGTGGATGGCCGTTGAGCATGTTGGTATCCTCCAAATACTAGTTTTTTTCCAATCTCTAAGAGAACTTCTTGTATCAGAAAATATTAAATGTTGGCTTTGAGCTGGTTTCTTTTACAAGAGTATTTTTGGATTTACAGGGTAACACACTTGAGCCTGATATTTTGATATAGTCATTTCTACTAATTGTGAATTCACAGACGTATTCAGGGTCATTCTTCTGTATAATGAGCTTGTTCAGAGCAGAAGAAAAATGTTGACTAAGCACAACCCATGGAAACAATGTTTAACATGTTATATATGTGACGGAAAAGATTGCTTGTTTTGATTGCTCACTGTTTTCTGCTATCAATTTGATTTAGTGTATATATATATGCAACCATTGTGGTTTCTTATTGTTGCAGATATTAAGTGAGCACAAGAATGAAGTTTGGTTTGTACAATTTTCTAATAACGGGCAGTACTTAGCCTCTTCGTCAAGTGACTGCACAGCTATTATATGGAAGGTATTGCCCAAATGTTACTTTCTGGCGTTTCCTATTGATGTCTTGAGTCAAATATCTTTATGATGCTCTGATGATTCAATTGTTGGTTTAAAATCGATAACTTGCACACTTGTGTATACATCTTGTTAGATATTGTGTTTCAGAGTATCAGAGCTACATCTTAAACATTGCTTTTCACTGGGTATATTTGACTTAGTTAACAAATAAATGAAAATAAAAATTATTTGAGGGCTATTATCATATATCTGAGGAACCATGGGGAAGTTAATTGTTGTTTAGCACTCAAAAATGAAATATTGATATGTTTATACTTATGATGGTTGTTTGAAAAACTTAAATGTGCATATTATATTAAGTTGATATCCATATAACCATAAAAACTTGTACATTTGATTCATTTTCTGTAATTCTTCTGCTAGGTGCTGGAAGATGATACACTGACATTGAAACACACACTCCGAAGCCATGAAAATCCAGTTTCCTTTGTTGCATGGAGTCCAGATGACACAAGTTTGCTTACATGTGGCAATGCAGAAGTTCTGAAGCTGTGGGATGTGGAAACAGGTATATGTAAGCATACATTTGGAGATCATGGCTTCATTGTAAGCTCATGTGCTTGGTTTCCCGACTCAAAGCGACTTGTGTGTGGCAGTTCTGACCCTGAAAAGGGAATCTTCATGTGGGATTGTAATGGGAATGAGATAAAAGCATGGAGGGGGGTAAGGATGCCCAAGGTAGTGGATCTTGCTGTGACACCAGATGGGGAAAACCTTATCAGTGTATTATCAGATAAAGACATCCGGATACTAAACTTGGTGACAAATGCTGAGAGGGTGATCTTTGAGGAGCACCCAATTACGTCTCTTTCCATATCTGTAGATAGTAAGTTCTTTATTGTTAACTTAAACAGCCAAGAGATTCATTTGTGGGATGTTGCTGGAAATTGGGAAAAGCCACTGAAGTATAAGGGCCACCAGCAAAACAAGTATGTGATACGGTCCTGCTTTGGTGGGTTGGATAGTACATATATTGCTAGTGGGAGTGAGAATTCTCAGGTATGCCTTTTTCCCCAGTGCCATGTGCCTCTCAGTTATTACACATGAAGAATTCAGATACGTGCTCGTGCACCTATGCTGGTTGTTTAACTTCTGTTCAATTTGATATTGGTCCGAAGTTCATATGGTTTCAAATTGCAGTTTGAAATGTCATTTTAGCTTAAAATTTGGTTTGTGAGAGTGTAGGGTTCAATGTTTTGCTTGAAAGCAAGTTGTGCTGTTAAATGAATTGAGAAGGATAATGTTCCCATTTCTTAGCTTTCTCATTGGGTAGCATGCATCACATGTACGATAATAATGTTCTGAAAATGTCATCCAGCCAGATCCATTCTCAAGTGTCTTCATCATTCTTCTCTCTCTCTCTCTCTTCATTTGGGCCCCTGGATAAATTGATGGCTGTTATTTGGTATTCTATCCCGTTCGTACAGAAACAAACCTGCACACCTGCTCACATAACTATGCACATAGTTGCATTACCTTATTGTAGGTTTTGATTCATTCATATGCTTTCCATTGTTTGGTGGAGCAAATGGAACTTTAATCTGTATGTCTGTGTCTTATCAGGTCTACATCTGGAATCGGCGGAACTCTAAGCCAATTGAAGTTTTATCGGGCCATTTGATGACTGTAAATTGTGTGAGCTGGAACCCTAAAAGGCCTCAGATGTTGGCATCAGCTAGTGACGATCATACGATCCGTATCTGGGGTCCAAGCCAATCCAGGAAGACATAATCTGAAAGGCTCATTTGAACAGAAGAGATTAAATTTTGAAGTCCTTTGTATAGCTTTCCCTCGATATTTATTCATCAATTTATGTCAGTGGCTTTCCCTTGGTTGCCCCTGGTCCAATTTTGAAGCACGCTTCCTTCTGTAAATTCCCATGGTCTTTTTCTGTCTGTGGCTGTCAATTTTTAGGACCTTCGCCTTCTTTTATAAGTATAGCTGGGACTTGTTGACTTTGGTCCACTTGCTATGCGAAGTCTTTGCTTTATTGTCTTAGACAATTAAGCGTTATAGGATCACATATTTATACCATAAATGTATCATTTCCTGTAAATTAAGGCAAATTAAGGTTTAGTTTACCCTCAGTATAGTTCCAATTAATTTTGGCTTCTGAGGCTGTGATAGATTAAGGCAAAGTTTAAGTTTACCCTCCATCTGTGATGGTTCCTGGCTAGTGTGGCCTGTAATGCATGTTCGAATTTGAGTGGGCAAAAAATCTTGCGATGAAGCTGTGGGTGTGTATTCTGTATACAGGGTTTTATTTATGTTTTATTTTCACCTAACTACTATTATAATTGATTTTCTTAAGCACAAGGATATTGGTGCAATTGTTGTTTGCTCTGGACTGGCTTCTGGGTTAGGATGTTTGCCTTGAAAGAAAGGTTTCCAAAGTAGCCGCATATTTGTTTATTAAATGATTTTTAATAATTGCTGTTATCTATTTTGATCACGTTGTGTAAGATCGAAACGATTATTCAAAAGTGTTTTTATAGTATTAATAACATTTTCTAACATGTTGTGGCCTAAGAATCTAAATGCAATAACTACATAAGTGTGCTCAAACTCAATGAGGCTTACAACAAAATTAATCTAATCCAATATTCCAATGCCGTTTTAGATCGAAATTTAATCTAATTTAAAACTCAATTTTAAGTAGATTAAAACCTAAATTTAATCAAATCCGTTGAAATTGAACTAATTTTAACCCATCAATTCCTAAGGAAATCTCCTCTTTTTTTTTTTTTTTAAAAACATTGTTGGTTACGAGGATTAGCTAGGAACTAGACTTTATTTTTCTTAATAATTATGGCTCATTCGATTTCAAGTGATTTTTTTTTAATTAAAAATATACAAAGTGAACTGGTTGAATCAATTGTTGAAGTTTCGTTGACCCCACTCAAAATTCTATCCGAATTTGGAGCTAAAGAGCTGTGAACCGGGTCGGACTCCAATTCGATCCACGCGAAGAAGGCCATTTTAGTAAAATACAAAATACAATACATTACACACGGCATGAAAAGAAAACAAAAACATAAATAAATAACTCACCCACCGCTCGGTTAAGCCATTCTGGCTTTGCCCCTCGGCTTTAGGTTTTGTCGCTATCTGAAATTCCCTAATTCACCACTCTGATAGTCTGGTTTCTTCTGTTCATTCGAGATCGCCTGAATTTGTGAAATTAGGGTTCCAGGACGTGCATCTCTGTTCAATTATCTCATATTCATAATTAGATAATCATTCCCATAATTCTTTAGAGTTTTCTTATGACGGTCGTCTAGAGAGATGACGGGACTTGCCAGACCACTCGATCGAAACTCCGTCCAGTCACGACCCTCCAATCAGTCTCATCGCAGGTCTGAATCTTTTAATTATGTTGATGCTCCAATTTGACGATTATGTTTAATTGGTGCCTGATGGATTGAATTCAAGTATGTTGTAAACTTTGACTTCGTTTGACAGTTTTCATCAAAATTCATTCAATTTTGTTTAGGTATATTAGATCGGGACTTCGACTGTGATCTGTTTGTGAAATTTAAAGTTTTAGGGTCGTTCGTCAATTTTGTTAATTTTAGCGTTTCTTACGTTCTATTTGTTGCGATTCTTTTCGGTGCTAGAAATGTTTCCCGCTTGTTAGCGCTGAGAGAGATATCGCCCAGAACAAAATATGTGCAGGGAAGGCAGTGGGGGGAAGCTTCTAGATCGAGTGCTCGTGGGTCCAGGAACGAATCATTGAGAGACATCAAGCATGGTCTTGTTTCATGGTGGGTTGATTAGGGTTTGAATAGAAGAATTTGTTTTAAAATTTAGGATTTTGTTTTTAGTTTGTTTTGAAGTGTTGCTTTGTGTCAATTATGGATTGTTGTTCTTTTCCAGGGTTGAGGCAGAATCATTGCGGCACTTATCAGCCAAGTATTGCCCTTTGCTGCCTCCTCCGAGGTCAACTATTGCTGCAGCATTTAGTCCTGACGGGAGAACGCTTGCTTCTACACAGTGAGCATTTGATTCTGTTAGTTCTTTTGATTTAAGTTTTACGCCTAGCTTTGAATTTTGTGTTAACTATGTTTCAATACTTGCAGTGGTGACCACACTGTAAAGATAATTGATTGCCAAACTGGAAACTGCTTGAAGGTCTTAAGTGGTCATCGGAGGACACCTTGGGTGGTAAGTTTTGATGTTTGTTATCATTGTCTGAGGAATTGGTACTTTTTTTTCTCATTTCATGTCCATGCATTAACATTTCAGTTGATCATTTGTTCAGCATATTTGATGAAAGTTCTTTTTGTAAAGTTGATATCTTATGAAAGAAATATATCAGGAAGAGACAGTAAGACTTGATACTGTAATGATTTTTCCTAGGCTGAATGAAGTCCCTTTTTTTCCTCAATATTCTGTTCTCCTTGGTGCAATATCTTCTATAAAAACTACCTGGTGATGCACTTTTTACTGGTGAAGTACTTGTAATAATAAAATAGTGGCTTATGTTTTATGAACAGTTACCATTGACCTTGTGTTCTTAACGTTAGACGTTAGTGCTCTATGCCAAGGCCTTAGGTTTGAGTTTGTGTCTTCCAGGTACCGAAATGCAATATCTAGCTAATAGTGCTTACTCCTATTGTTGTTCTTGCAAATTATCCCAGAAGTGATTTGAAGCAAAGTCATTGTGCAATAACATGTTGTGTAGAATGTCATAATGGCGTTATGCCTTCATTTTTGTGGTGCTGATGGAGTGTTTACAGGTTAGGTTCCACCCATTACGTCCAGAAATACTTGCAAGTGGGAGCTTGGATCATGAAGTTCGTCTATGGGATGCAAACACGTCAGAGTGTATAGGATCTCGTGATTTCTGTAATCCACTTGATTCTTGCTCTGGTCACTTTTGCAACAGTGATACCTTTTTTTTTTTAATTTTTAATCTCAGCTTATTGTTCACCATGTGGTGAGTCTGATTGCTGGAAATTTTTTCTGTCACAGATCGCCCCATTGCTTCTATTGCTTTCCATGCTGAAGGTGGACTCCTTGCCGTTGCGTCTGGCCACAAGGTGCTGATTGCTGACCATTGCATATGTATTTCACATATAGTTCTATTTTGCTTGAAGGTTCTCCCTCCTCTTCTTTCTATCCAATTGTAGAGATCTGATAGCATTTGCACTTTAAATGTGTTTCAGCTGTACATATGGCCCTACAACTACAGAGGGGAAGCTTCCTCACCAATAATTGTGTTGAAGACAAGGCGCTCACTTCGAGCTGTACATTTTCACCCACATGCTGCGCCATTTCTCTTGACTGCAGAGGTGAATTATCCAATGGGTGTTTAATTGATTTTTTACTTATTCTATCATATAGATTACATTATTGGACTGATATGCAGGTGAATGATCTTGACTCTTCAGATTCCTCGATGACACGGGCAACATCTCCGGGTTACTTGCGATATCCTCCTCCTGCTGTTTTTGTGGCAAATGCTCAATCTAGTGACCGTGTTAATTTGCCTGCTGAACTTCCTCTCATGTCCATGCCTTTATTGTTTGTGCCTTCTGTTTCTATAGATGATTCAAAAATAGATTTGGAGCATGCTAATAGGCATGTTGGCTCAAGAAACATGCAAGTGGAGTCATCTGCTTCAATGCAGTTCCAGTCAGATGTAAATGTTTCAGAACAGCAAGATACTACAGTGTCTCCTATGGAGATGTTATCTGTGAGTCGTCCTGGATCATATCCTGGTACAGAAGAATCTGTAAACAATTCTTTCCCTAATGCGATAGAAAGTGGTGTTTCTGACCATCAAGTGGACGCTATGGATACAGATGAAATGCAACCAGTAGGGGCAAGCCAACTATGTAACTCGACCAACCTAGATAATCTTAGTGGTGCAACGAGGGGAATACCTGCACATATTTCCACTCGATCAACTATCACTGAATTTGGCCAACTTCAGCAGTTTTTACCCATTAGGGATCCATCTTGTTGGGAGCTTCCATTCTTGCAAGGATGGTTAATGGGCCAAAGCCAAGTTGGTGTTTCCCCAGTGCTTCCTCTTGGTGGCGGTAGTCGTGATCATACAGCTCAATATGGGGGTTCCAGCTCAATGCCTCATCCATCTACGTTTAATGTTGAGGCCGCGGTAGCTTCATTAACAGTGCCTGGCAGCATGAACTTATCTACGGTTCCTGGAAGACCCAATCGACATCATATTTCTCACACCCGATTCTCTGGATCTGAGTCTGGACAAGTTGCTTCTTCCAGTAATGTTCTACATGATAACACTGATGCTCAACCTATCATCAGCAGAATTCAGTCTGAACTTGCCACGTCACTGGCTGCAGCTGCAGAGTTACCTTGTACTGTGAAGCTCAGAGTATGGTCACATGATATAAAAAATCCTTGTTCTCTACTTGATGGTAAAAAATGCCGCTTGATAATACCACATGCAGTCCTTTGTAGGTAAAAATTTTTGTATCTTGTTTATATGATTCGATTCTCATGAATTTACTAATTGACATAACACTTGAAACTATATATTTCATTCTGGAAATTATAATCTGTTTTACTTTCTAGATTTCCAAATGTTTTTGAATTTCATTTTAAGATGTACAAGTCTTGGTTTGGTCAAATCTTGAGTTTTATCCACATAATCATAATTGTCTGTCTGTCATCATGCTCACTGAGAATCCTGCTTTGCCATAAATGTGCTTGTAGTGAAATGGGTGCCCATTTTTCACCGTGTGGGAGATTTTTAGCTGCCTGTGTTGCTTGCATACTTCCTTGCTCTGAAGCTGATCCAGGGCTACAAACCTTAGTCCATCAAGAACCTGGGACTGCTACATCCCCAACTCGCCATCCAATTTCAGCACACCAAGTCATGTATGAGCTTCGTATATATTCGCTCGAGGAGTCAACGTAAAGCTCAATCATTTCATCAACAGTTTGTTGTGAATTTGACCTTTTTCTTCTTCATAATCTGATTGATGGTTATCTTATATGATGCTATATTGATGCAGTTTTGGTTCAGTTCTTGTATCGCGGGCAATTAGAGCTGCTCATTGTTTGACTTCAATCCAGGTTGGTTGGTTTTAATAGACAGACATAATATTGGTTTTCAATTTTACAAGCTAGTATTATCTGTCACTTAGCATCATAACTGACCTTACATGTACATTTTACTTGTGTTGCATCTATGAGAAATCTATACATTATAAGTTGTTCTATGTCATTAGTACAATTAGCTGACTCAAGGTGATACTTAGGATCACTAGAGATTGTTTTAGAACTGATCGTATTGAAAGAGAAATTTATAGTCTGTAATGGCATAAAAGATGCTTTGGAACTGAAACAATTATGGTTGTAACCAATCTATATCTAAAAGCCCAAAGATAATTCAGTGAATGTAGCAAATAAAAGGTCCTTTTTAGTAGATCAGAAGATGTGATACACACAAGTGTTTATGGTTGTAACCGTTTGTTTTAAAACTTAATTATTTTACCTGACACTTTCAAATTATACTTTTAACACATTTTTTGGAGTCTTATTTTGAAATGGATTTCTCTTTCCTATTACTTTTTCTTGAGTTTTAAACATGTTGTAGTAGTGTGGGAGAAGACCTTCGATGGTGTAGGAAGCAATACCTGAAACAAACTATACTTTTTTCTGTTAATTTTTAGGGTTCATTTGGTTCAGCTTCTTCAAATAGAGCTTATTCACATGTCTTTTAAAAAAAAAAAATGTTTATTGTTTGGTTGGATAAATGTAAAAGAATAAGTTTTTAGTTGTAAATTACTGAAAAGGATTTCAATGCAAAAGAAAGGCTAAAGTAATGTTTCTGATTTAATGTAGAGATATTTGGCATTTAAAAACTTGATAACCTCAAAAGGAGCTTATGGAAAAGCCCCAAATTTGAGTTTTGTTACAGTAGACTGGAAAACAATTGATTCAATCAACCCATAGTCTCTTGAGTTGCAATGAAACAGCACAAAAGTTGAAAATAATTTTTGATATTGAAAAAATTCTTTTAGTTAGTAGGTAATGCCAACCAAACTGTCACTAGAATGGGTCACTTATTTTCAGCCAGAGAATGGACTTGATAGATTCGATGGGAAATTTTCAATATCTCAATTATACCAATGCTATCATGTTTAGGTGATATTTAAGTTTTTGAGAAGTTGGACCTGAGGAGAAGAGTTATTCTTCTTGATTGAACTTTACGGATTGGTTAAATTTCTGTGAAGGATCCCAGAATTAAGTTAGTAAACTTGATACTTTAGACATCGATTTTTATGTGTGTTATACATATGAAAAGAAATTGGTTGTTGTCAGTTCGAAACTGGAATTTACTTTATATTTGAAATATTCTTTTACTTAACTATAATGCCTAATCTTTACATTGTCTGGTTTGCATGTATTTCTGAAATCATACAAAATTTGTCAGATATAGTTACAATTCCTTGTATTACACATGCAGTTTTCACCCACTTCGGAGCATATATTACTTGCTTATGGTCGTCGTCACGGTTCTCTTCTTAAAAGTATCGTTATTGATGGTGAAACAACATCACCTATTTACACTGTTCTTGAGGTAAAAATTCTGATCATTATTTTTATAGTTTATGTGGAGTTGTCATTCTTCCCCTTTTCCCCTATAAGCCCTAAAAATTGACTTTACTGAACAAGCTAGAAAAGCTTTTCTATGTTATGAGCAAACTATGGTAGCTGCAATCATAAAGCACCATGGACAAGAGAGTGCTTTGAAGATGCTAGTTCCATTTCTTATTGACAGCACTGCTCTGTGCTGTCACTCAGTTGCTAGCAACTTTCTTATGGCTCTTTTGGGCGCAAAGGCCCTCTTACTTTGTGCTGTTGATTTAGCAACACAAACTCTTGCTATTTATGCATATAAAGAAATTTAGCACTGAATTGTTTGCTTGTTTATTGAGTCGGTACATTTTCCATGAATGAGTTGCAACTGTAATGCTTATTAAAACTTTACTTCCCTCTGCTGGGATTAGTAACATATGACTTAAAAGTCTAATTCATGTCTTCGTCATTCAGGTTTACAGAGTTTCAGATATGGAACTTGTGAGAGTGCTTCCTAGTGCAGAGGATGAGGTCAATGTTGCTTGCTTTCATCCTTTTGCTGGAGGAGGTCTTGTTTATGGGACCAAGGTTGGAATTCATCGTGCTTACAAAATGTTGCATTTTTTTGTTTGATATTCTATGATCTAAGAAAATTGTTGTTTGTAAAATGCAGGAAGGGAAACTTAGGGTCCTTCAGTATGATAGAGCTCCTGATGCAAACTGTAGTGGACCAAATTATTTTAATGCTGAAAACATGGCAGAGGTAGAGTAGTGAGCAAGGTTACAATATAATCATTCTTTTGGTGTTTAGATACTTTTTTTGGTTAATAAATTGAAAATAACCTGCTTTCGTGATAGGTTCTGTTCATTTTTTCCTTTTTATCTTCTCTCCTTTTAACAGAGGAGAGAACAATGTGAAATATCTTATACATTTGGTAACTTTAAAGTTTACTTCTCATTTAATGTATCTCATTCGATTTCTAATGGGATTGGTGCTCAAGATGTTCTGTAGCTCACTTTAAAAAGCTGTTAAGTTAGAAGATATAACACTGACCACCCCTTGTATCTCAAATCGCATATTTGAGATAAGATTTTTAGATGTTTGATCTGATATATGTTGAGTTATTCCCTGCATATCTATGAATTTAAATTCACGCATTTCATATGACCAACAAACCAGTAGCTTATTCTGTTGTTTTGTGAGAATTGAACTTGTTAGCTGAATGTGTATCGTTTCTGCCCACGTGCTTTTATTGTTAAAATTTTCTAGGGTATGTAATTCTCCAACAATTTTATGTCATTTTATATCATGACAAGTATGTGTCGAGAATTATCAGTTTACTTAAATAGAAGAAAAGACAACCTTTTGGTAGTAGAAAATTTTGCTTGTTCAGTTTCTTGTATCGCGGCAATTAGAGCTGCTCATTGTTTGACTTCATCCAGTGGTTGGTTTTATAGACACATAATATTGGTTTTCAATTTTACAAGCTAGTTTATCTGTCACTTAGCATCATAACTGACCTTACTGTACATTTTACTTGTGTTGCATCTATGAGAAATCATACATTATAAGTTGTTCTATGTCATTAGTACAATTAGCTGACTCAAGGTGATACTTAGGATCACTAGAGATTGTTTTAGAACTGATCGTATTGAAAGAGAAATTTATAGTCTGTAATGGCATAAAAGATGCTTTGAACTGAAACAATTATGGTTGTACACCAATCTATATCAAAAGCCCAAGATATTCAGTGATGTTAGCAAATAAAGGTCCTTTTTAGTAGATCAGAAGATGTGATACACACAAGTGTTTATGGTTGTAACCGTTGGCTCTATGCCAAGGCCTTAGGTTTGAGTTTGTGTCTTCCAGGTACCGAAATGCAATATCTAGCTAATAGTGCTTACTCCTATTGTTGTTCTTGCAAATTATCCCAGAAGTGATTTGAAGCAAAGTCATTGTGCAATAACATGTTGTGTAGAATGTCATAATGGCGTTATGCCTTCATTTTTGTGGTGCTGATGGAGTGTTTACAGGTTAGGTTCCACCCATTACGTCCAGAAATACTTGCAAGTGGGAGCTTGGATCATGAAGTTCGTCTATGGGATGCAAACACGTCAGAGTGTATAGGATCTCGTGATTTCTGTAATCCACTTGATTCTTGCTCTGGTTACTTTTGCAACAGTGATACCTTTTTTTTTTTTAATTTTTAATCTCAGCTTATTGTTCACCATGTGGTGAGTCTGATTGCTGGAAATTTTTTCTGTCACAGATCGCCCCATTGCTTCTATTGCTTTCCATGCTGAAGGTGGACTCCTTGCCGTTGCGTCAGGCCACAAGGTGCTGATTGCTCACCATTGCATATGTATTTCACATATAGTTCTATTTTGCTTGAAGGTTCTCCCTCCTCTTCTTTCTATCCAATTGTAGAGATCTGATAGCATTTGCACTTTAAATGTGTTTCAGCTGTACATATGGCCCTACAACGACAGAGGGGAAGCTTCCTCACCAATAATTGTGTTGAAGACAAGGCGCTCACTTCGAGCTGTACATTTTCACCCACATGCTGCGCCATTTCTCTTGACTGCAGAGGTGAATTATCCAATGGGTGTTTAATTGATTTTTTACTTATTCTATCATATAGATTACATTATTGGACTGATATGCAGGTGAATGATCTTGACTCTTCAGATTCCTCGATGACACGGGCAACATCTCCGGGTTACTTGCGATATCCTCCTCCTGCTGTTTTTGTGGCAAATGCTCAATCTAGTGACCGTGTTAATTTGCCTGCTGAACTTCCTCTCATGTCCATGCCTTTATTGTTTGTGCCTTCTGTTTCTATAGATGATTCAAAAATAGATTTGGAGCATGCTAATAGGCATGTTGGCTCAAGAAACATGCAAGTGGAGTCATCTGCTTCAATGCAGTTCCAGTCAGATGTAAATGTTTCAGAACAGCAAGATACTACAGTGTCTCCTATGGAGATGTTATCTGTGAGTCGTCCTGGATCATATCCTGGTACAGAAGAATCTGTAAACAATTCTTTCCCTAATGCGATAGAAAGTGGTGTTTCTGACCATCAAGTGGACGCTATGGATACAGATGAAATGCAACCAGTAGGGGCAAGCCAACTATGTAACTCGACCAACCTAGATAATCTTAGTGGTGCAACGAGGGGAATACCTGCACATATTTCCACTCGATCAACTATCACTGAATTTGGCCAACTTCAGCAGTTTTTACCCATTAGGGATCCATCTTGTTGGGAGCTTCCATTCTTGCAAGGATGGTTAATGGGCCAAAGCCAAGTTGGTGTTTCCCCAGTGCTTCCTCTTGGTGGCGGTAGTCGTGATCATACAGCTCAATATGGGGGTTCCAGCTCAATGCCTCATCCATCTACGTTTAATGTTGAGGCCGCGGTAGCTTCATTAACAGTGCCTGGCAGCATGAACTTATCTACGGTTCCTGGAAGACCCAATCGACATCATATTTCTCACACCCGATTCTCTGGATCTGAGTCTGGACAAGTTGCTTCTTCCAGTAATGTTCTACATGATAACACTGATGCTCAACCTATCATCAGCAGAATTCAGTCTGAACTTGCCACGTCACTGGCTGCAGCTGCAGAGTTACCTTGTACTGTGAAGCTCAGAGTATGGTCACATGATATAAAAAATCCTTGTTCTCTACTTGATGGTAAAAAATGCCGCTTGATAATACCACATGCAGTCCTTTGTAGGTAAAAATTTTTGTATCTTGTTTATATGATTCGATTCTCATGAATTTACTAATTGACATAACACTTGAAACTATATATTTCATTCTGGAAATTATAATCTGTTTTACTTTCTAGATTTCCAAATGTTTTTGAATTTCATTTTAAGATGTACAAGTCTTGGTTTGGTCAAATCTTGGGTTTTATCCACATAATCATAATTGTCTAGTCTGTCATCATGCTCACTGAGTATCCTGCTTTGCCATAAATGTGCTTGTAGTGAAATGGGTGCCCATTTTTCACCGTGTGGGAGATTTTTAGCTGCCTGTGTTGCTTGCATACTTCCTTGCTCTGAAGCTGATCCAGGGCTACAAACCTTAGTCCATCAAGAACCTGGGACTGCTACATCCCCAACTCGCCATCCAATTTCAGCACACCAAGTCATGTATGAGCTTCGTATATATTCGCTCGAGGAGTCAACGTAAAGCTCAATCATTTCATCAACAGTTTGTTGTGAATTTGACCTTTTTCTTCTTCATAATCTGATTGATGGTCATCTTATATGATGCTATATTGATGCAGTTTTGGTTCAGTTCTTGTATCACGGGCGATTAGAGCTGCTCATTGTTTGACTTCAATCCAGGTTGGTTGGTTTTAATAGACAAACATAATATTGGTTTTCAATTTTACAAGCTAGTGTTATCTGTCACTTAGCATCATAACTGACCTTACATGTACATTTTACTTGTGTTGCATCTATGAGAAATCAATACATTATAAGTTGTTCTATGTCATTAGTACAATTAGCTGACTCAAGGTGATACTTAGGATCACTAGAGATTGTTTTAGAACTGATCGTATTGAAAGAGAAATTTATAGTCTGTAATGGCATAAAAGATGCTTTGGAACTGAAACAATTATGGTTGTAACCAATCTATATCTAAAAGCCCAAAGATAATTCAGTGAATGTAGCAAATAAAAGGTCCTTTTTAGTAGATCAGAAGATGTGATACACACAAGTGTTTATGGTTGTAACCGTTTGTTTTAAAACTTAATTATTTTACCTGACATTTTCAAATTATACTTTTAACACATTTTTTGGAGTCTTATTTTGAAATGGATTTCTCTTTCCTATTACTTTTTCTTGAGTTTTAAACATGTTGTAGTAGTGTGGGAGAAGACCTTCGATGGTGTAGGAAGCAATACCTGAAACAAACTATACTTTTTTCTGTTAATTTTTAGGGTTCATTTGGTTCAGCTTCTTCAAATAGAGCTTATTCACATGTCTTTTAAAAAAAAAAAATGTTTATTGTTTGGTTGGATAAATGTAAAAGAATAAGTTTTTAGTTGTAAATTACTGAAAAGGATTTCAATGCAAAAGAAAGGCTAAAGTAATGTTTCTGATTTAATGTAGAGATATTTGGCATTTAAAAACTTGATAACCTCAAAAGGAGCTTATGGAAAAGCCCCAAATTTGAGTTTTGTTACAGTAGACTGGAAAACAATTGATTCAATCAACCCATAGTCTCTTGAGTTGCAATGAAACAGCACAAAAGTTGAAAATAATTTTTGATATTGAAAAAATTCTTTTAGTTAGTAGGTAATGCCAACCAAACTGTCACTAGAATGGGTCACTTATTTTCAGCCAGAGAATGGACTTGATAGATTCGATGGGAAATTTTCAATATCTCAATTATACCAATGCTATCATGTTTAGGTGATATTTAAGTTTTTGAGAAGTTGGACCTGAGGAGAAGAGTTATTCTTCTTGATTGAACTTTACGGATTGGTTAAATTTCTGTGAAGGATCCCAGAATTAAGTTAGTAAACTTGATACTTTAGACATCGATTTTTATGTGTGTTATACATATGAAAAGAAATTGGTTGTTGTCAGTTCGAAACTGGAATTTACTTTATATTTGAAATATTCTTTTACTTAACTATAATGCCTAATCTTTACATTGTCTGGTTTGCATGTATTTCTGAAATCATACAAAATTTGTCAGATATAGTTACAATTCCTTGTATTACACATGCAGTTTTCACCCACTTCGGAGCATATATTACTTGCTTATGGTCGTCGTCACGGTTCTCTTCTTAAAAGTATCGTTATTGATGGTGAAACAACATCACCTATTTACACTGTTCTTGAGGTAAAAATTCTGATCATTATTTTTATAGTTTATGTGAAGTTGTCATTCTTCCCCTTTTCCCCTATAAGCCCTAAAAATTGACTTTACTGAACAAGCTAGAAATGCTTTTCTATGCTATTAGCAAACTATGGTAGCTGCAATCATAAAGCACCATGGACAAGAGAGTGCTTTGAAGATGCTAGTTCCATTTCTTATTGACAGCACAGCTCTGTGCCGTCACTCAGTTGCTAGCAACTTTCTTATGGCTCTTTTGGGCGCAAAGGCCCTCTTACTTTGTGCTGTTGATTTAGCAACACAAACTCTTGCTATTTATGCATATAAAGAAATTTAGCACTGAATTGTTTGCTTGTTTATTGAGTCGGTACTTTTTCCATGAATGAGTTGCAACTGTAATGCTTATTAAAACTTTACTTCCCTCTGCTGGGATTAGTAACATACGACTTAACAGTCTAATTCTTGTCTTTGTCATTCAGGTTTACAGAGTTACAGATATGGAACTTGTGAGAGTGCTCCCTAGTGCGGAGGATGAGGTCAATGTTGCTTGCTTTCATCCTTTTGCTGGGGGAGGTCTTGTTTATGGGACGAAGGTTGGAATTCATCGTGCTTAAAAAATGTTGCATTTTTTTGTTTGATATTCTATGATCTAAGAAAATTGTTGTTTGTAAAATGCAGGAAGGGAAACTTAGGGTCCTTCAGTATGATAGAGCTCCTGATGCAAACTGTAGTGGACCAAATTATTTTAATGCTGAAAACATGGCAGAGGTAGAGTAGTGAGCAAGGTTACAATATAATCATTCTTTTGGTGTTTAGATACTTTTTTTGGTTAATAAATTGAAAATAACCTGCTTTCGTGATAGGTTCTGTTCATTTTTTCCTTTTTATCTTCTCTCCTTTTAACAGAGGAGAGAACAATGTGAAATATCTTATACATTTGGTAACTTTAAAGTTTACTTCTCATTTAATGTATCTCATTCGATTTCTAATGGGATTGGTGCTCAAGATGTTCTGTAGCTCACTTTAAAAAGCTGTTAAGTTAGAAGATATAACACTGACCACCCCTTGTATCTCAAATCGCGTATTTGAGATAAGAATTTTAGATGTTTGATCTGATATATGTTGAGTTATTCCCTGCATATCTATGAATTTAAATTCATGCATTTCATATGACCAACAAACCAGTAGCTTATTCTGTTGTTTTGTGAGAATTGAACTTGTTAACTGAATGTGTATCATTTCTGCCCATGTGCTTTTATTGTTAAAATTTTCTAGGGTATGTACTTCTCTAACAATTTTATGTCATTTTATATCATGACAAGTATGTGTCGAGAATTATCAGTTTACTTAAATAGAAGAAAAGACAACCTTTTGGTAGTAGAAAATTTTGCACACATTTTACCAAGGGTGCATAATTCCTGGCCTGTAGTCGAATGATTTGTTTTTTTTTTATGTTTTTGCTTGAAGAACTAGAGTAATGAATTGCCTTGTTGATTTCAGGTGCAGACATACGCTTTAGAATGCTAGACATCAGTGATCTACTTCAAAGGAAGCTGTATAACATTATCAACTTAATGGTATAAATCAAAATTGAAGTCTGATAGTGGTAGATCAATAAAAACTTCGAGGCTTAGCTGAGTGATTAGGCTTATGGTTTGCTGCCCCAGGATGTGGGTGTTTATTTCCAAGGTATCTACTTGGCGGGAAATCATGATTTCCAGCTTCCGAAAGATTCTAGAGTATGTGAGAGATCTCAGTTTTGAACTGGGAGGGGCTGTGATGCAGGTTCAGGGGGTTGACTGGATTAAAGAAGTATTAGATCAGTTTCTTCATTCCAGCACATGTGACATGTTTGTAGAAAAGGTGTGAATTTAGTATTGGCATTGGGAGAAGTTTCGGATGCTGATTATGATGACCAAACCATTTGTGTCGATACTTAACAGGAATATTTTGGCATCTTGATGTGGAAGGGATGTGAATTGCTGCTGCAATAATATGTGTTTTTGATTCCTTCCACCAGAAATCTGTAGAATCGTGCTATTTAAGTGGGTGCCAAAATGTACAAAAATGTCCCAGTAGTATTCTAACACAAGCTTTTATTTTTGTTTCAAATTTTTCTTCTTTTTAATAAAACTGTTGTTTAATTTATATCTTCTCTGTGAAGCTCTACAGCATTAAATTTCATTTGTTGCTAATCGATATTACATTCATGTATCTTTTCAAATCAATCTGCCGGTTTGTTTATTTGGTAATATTATCACGTGTCAATAATAAATAAAATTGTAAATTTTGAAATATTTAAGAAGTATGCCAATCAAGACATCAAGTGGTACACATCATTCTCACTTTTTGGTCACCTAACCACCTTTTTTATTTTGGCACTTCTTTTAAGCCATTCGTTTTTGTTAAGGGCACTTGACCTGATTAAGTGGGTGTCTGAATCATTCCCAACAAAGGAGGGTACAGATTTATGGTGCGATAATAAAAATATCAAGAGTTGACTAGTCAAATAAGCATTAAAGGCTTATTTAAAGACGTAAAGATTAAATGGGGGGGTTTGAATGGGACATGCATTGACTACTTGTTTTCTATCTTTGACCAGACATCATTTATTTTCTAATTAATTAATTAAAAAGATACAATCAATTTGAAAGAATAACTAAAATTAGCAAATAAACTAAAATCAGATTATCAATAAGGTAGTGATAATAATAGTACTAAGAATATCAAGATGAGGAAGAAGAAGTTGACTCAAATTTGTAGTATTTATCAACGGCAACAGAAACGTCCCAAGTGCAACTGAGTCCTTTTGGGATGATGACAAGATCTCCAGCACCAAACTCTACACTCTCTGACGAACCTTTAGGATATACTTTCACCTTCCCTTTCAACAAATAGCAAGTTTCTTCTGCATCAAACTTAAGCTGGTACTTCCCTGGAGAGCAACCCCATCTTTTTTTACAAGCAGAGAAAATCGATAACCAAAAGTTAACTAGATGAATACCCGAATCAGAATGAACATATATAAACACATACTTAAACACAAAGAAGCTTCAGGCTTACTTGGGCCAACACTTGATGTTTAATTCAGATAGCCTTGATTCTGAAGGGTTTCTTTCAACGATGATTCTTAGGTTATTGTCAGCCATATATGAAAGAAAAGAAGAAGAAAGTGATTATATTGAAGTGAAAGAGAAAAAGATTGCAGAAGTTTTAAAAGCTTTTCTAAGTGTTTGACAATAGACACACTATCTATTTTGACATAGATAAGAGGAAGAGTTAGAATATATAGGCAAACTATCTCATTACTAACCATTTACTTATCACATCACGCCATGTCATAATCCCAATATAAGTTAACCGACCTTGGCCCGTAGCATCACCGTATATCCATTTACACCAAAATAAAGATCAAGTGGGGTTACTTGTATCCTGTAATCTACTGTTATTATTATTATTATTATTTTATATATATATATACTGCTACACAAAAATGAGAAAGAGATTTGATGCTTGATTCTTCATCACCATATTTTTTTTTTTTTGTTTTTGTATAAAAACTTTCAAACAAATTTGACCTACTCAAAAACTGTTTTCGTCCGGAGCTTTTAAATGTTCATAGGCATAGGCTTATTTATCTGCAAAATCAAACATGATTTAAGGTGTATATAAAGTACAAGAAGCTACGGGTCCGTTAATGTTGGCAGAAGGTGGTTGGAACATGAATTAAGTGAATGGTCAAAGAGTTGATCGCTGACAGTGACAAATGGCAGAATATGGTTGGAGGATGTAATGAGAGTTTGACCAGGGTATCATAATCTTGAAGATACCGACATAACTGTGTCAGGCTTTTATGCCGTTTGGATATACTTAAAAGTAATTATCTTTTGAATGTTTGCACGTGGAAAGATTGGATCTGATATATGTACTTGTTTTTGTTTCTATTCTATGTATTAAGAGTATCATGGATAAATCTAATTTTTATATAATTATGTCATATTTAAGTTTAATACAAGCATCTTTGACTGGATAATTCAATATCAAATATCAAACATAATAGCTAGAAGAGTCTCATTCCTCCTTGATAACATTCAATATTAGGGTCATTTCATTTATATATGTTTTTGCACATGAATTTTGTCTCTATATACCTATGATTAAACATGTGACGCGACACCCCACTCAATTTATGCATATTTTTCAATCATTTTGTTTAAAGAATTGTTCATTATTATGGATCGAATGGCCCAAGTGAGTTTGGTTGAACCCAGCCTAATTAATATGAACAAAGCCCATTTACATGAATATGGGTTTTATTTGTCAGATGTTTAGTTAAAAACAAAGCCCAACACAAGGTGTGGTTAACCCCAATTAATTTCAATATTATGAACAATTCAGATTAAATTTAACAATATGGATTTATTATGAATATTAGACTATTATTTTCTTAATCACGTTCATGTCATAATCGATGTAAAATAAACATTATTTTTTTTAATGTAAACTTTTGAAGGAGTTAAACAATAATCAAATGAGAAATGGTGTATGCATCAACACAATCACAAAAAATTCGGATCAAAATCACCAGTGGCGGATTTACTTAAAGACAAGTGGAGACCACAACCCCCACTCAAACTTTAAAAAACTTCAGATTGTATAAATATTTATATTTAGTTGCATTTTACCCCTTATAAGACTTTGACATTTTGCCCCACAATTTTTTTTTGTTTATTTTTTACCCCCATCGAGTGAAATTTCTGAATCCACCACTGAGAATCACAAGAACATGGGCTTATGAAACTCATGCCCAATTTTTATATTTTCAGCGGTGTTAGTATCAATGGATCTTCAGATATGAGTCTATGACCCAGAATCACATTTATAAAATAAATAAACAAAATTTCAATAATTCAGAGGGTCAATCATATAAATTCAAAGATAAAGCTAGCCAACAGCTAAATAAAGGTACATAGTTATCTGTGACTCTAATAACCTCTCAATAATATCATCTCTCTCACTCCATTTACTGGTCATGGCTATTCAAGGTCAAGTCATCACATGCAAAGGTACTCCTTTTCACTCTCTTTTCTTAAATTTTTGTGTGAAAAATCTGATCTTTTACGTGATTGTGATCTGGGGTTTCTGAAGCCGCGGTGGCCTGGGAACCCAATAAGCCATTGGTGATAGAGGATGTTCAGGTGGCTCCGCCGCAGGCTGGTGAAGTCCGAATCAAGATACTCTTCACTGCTCTCTGCCACACTGATGCTTACACCTGGGGTGGCAAGGTACTTGTTTCTTTAAACGTTTTTTATATTGAAGTTTGTTTTGTTTTATGTTTAGTGTTGAAATGTCAGTGATCTCGTGGTTTGATTAGTAAAGTGATAGTGTTGTTTTGTGATTTGAATGTTTTTTTTTTGAGTGATGGGTTATTTGTTCAAATGGGCTTGTGACTTTGAGTGGACAACTTTCTGTTAAGGTTTTGAGTATGATTTTGGTTACATACGGCAATGGGTTATTTGACTATCTGCGTTGGTTTTGATTTGTTGATAAGAGAGAAAGAATTTATTCCATCATTTGCAGTATTAGAACAAATAGCTTCAGTCGTCTTAAATGACCTCGTGATAATAATGGTTTTTCTTTTCCTGAATGTTATCTAAAATGCTTTAAGGTATTTTGTTTTATTATTGTTTTCTGTTTATGGTTTTAATGCGGAAAAATGTTCTTAGTTTGTATTGAGATTGTTGCTGAATTTTATGATTTTTGTTAGTGCCAAATGTAATTTAGAGAAAAGGAATGGTGCAGGCATGCTGAAATAGGTGTGTAAAGGGTCTGAGGTGCAGCTAATTTGATGAATGCCTTTTTCATTTTTCCGATACTACTATCTTAGTTACATTTTCCTCCGCATCTCTTCAACATTTAATATGATGATATATTAGCTGTTATTTGTTAGCTTGACACTGATGTGAATTTCGCTTGATTTTCCTTCCAGGATCCTGAGGGTCTCTTCCCGTGTATCCTTGGCCATGAGGCTGCTGGGTATCTACTCCATATATCTGATACCACATATTCAGCCTCTGGTTTCTTTAAACGCTGAAGGGAAAGTTCTGATTGATTTTTTCTTCTTTTATTTTTCTGACACAGGATTGTGGAGAGTGTTGGTGAAGGTGTGACCGAAGTTCAACCTGGAGATCACGTTATCCCTTGTTACCAGGCTGAATGCGGAGAGTGCAAGTTTTGTAAATCAGGAAAGACAAATCTCTGTGGTAAGGTTCGGGGTGCTACTGGTGTTGGAGTCATGATGAATGATAAAAAGAGCCGTTTCTCAATAAACGGAAAGCCTCTTTATCATTTCATGGGAACCTCTACATTTAGCCAGTACACAGTTGTACATGATGTTAGTGTTGCAAAGATTGATCCACAAGCACCTTTGGATAAAGTGTGCCTTCTTGGCTGTGGTGTTCCTACTGGTATGGGTTTTCCATAACATCATAGTTTCTTCCTAGGTCACGAACCTAAAATTCTTATTTCTTAGCAGATAATGTACTGTAATTTTTATCGATTTGATCATTCTGCAAACCTTTTTTATTTATCCGTTCTGTTTGAAATTTTGAACAAGGTAATAAATTGTTGGTTTTATAGGCCTTGGAGCAGTTTGGAACACTGCAAAAGTAGAACCTGGGTCTATTGTTGCTATTTTTGGCCTTGGAACTGTTGGCCTTGCTGTAAGCATCTAATATAACCTTCTACTTCAGTTTCTTCTCCTATTTCCTTACTTTCTATCCTTTTTTATCTGTTTTTGGCTGGGAATTAGGAGGTTTTGAGACAGGTTCTTGTGCTTGTGCCATAGTTTTTAAAATATTGATTTTATTTTGACTTGATAGGTTGCTGAGGGTGCAAAAGCAGCTGGAGCTTCACGTGTAATTGGCATTGATATTGACAACAAAAAGTTTGATACAGGTACATATCTTGTATCATATAGTAGATTATCATCCATAATTTGATAAATCATGCATATGATATATGTGCTATGGTTGTCTTTGTCTCTCTTTGTTGTTGGGCTTTCTGGTGCATTGGTCTGGAACAATGATTAAAGTGGAACTTGCTATGCTTCTGTTACTTTCATAATGTATTTGCCCCACACCCCCTCTCCCTCACTATGGCTGTATACTTATACTTGCAAAATTGATACTGGCAGCAAAAAAGTTTGGAGTCACTGAATTTATAAATCCAAAGGACCATGATAAACCAATTCAGCAGGTCATTGTTGATCTCACTGATGGTGGTGTTGACTATAGCTTTGAGTGTATTGGAAATGTCTCTGTGATGAGGGCTGCTTTGGAGTGCTGTCACAAGGTCAGTGTTTCCGGAATTTGTAGCATAAACTAATGTGTAAAAGGTAGAACAATTATCTGATGGTCAAAACTTTCAGGGCTGGGGAACATCAGTTATTGTGGGTGTTGCAGCATCAGGGCAAGAGATATCAACCCGGCCCTTCCAGTTGGTGACTGGTCGTGTTTGGAAAGGAACAGCTTTTGGTGGTTTCAAGAGCCGTTCACAAGTGCCTTGGCTTGTAGAAAAGTACATGAAGAAGGTAATTGTCATCTAGTTTATGTATTCAATATTTGAGTTCATTTACGTTGGCAGAACTTATGATATTATTCTCCTCCTTTGTTCATAATGCAGGAAATCAAGGTTGATGAGTACATAACTCACAGTATGAGTCTTGGGGAGATCAATGAAGCATTTCACTTGATGCACGAAGGGGGCTGTCTCCGTTGTGTGCTTAAGATGTATGACTGAAATGACCTATTATATTAGCCCTGCATCAAGTTCTTATAATATATGGACATATCTTGTTGCTGCTATTAAGGGCTACATGGAAATTGCATCCCCTCGTAAGTGGAAACTGGAAACTAGACTGTTTGAAGAAAAGTACTGTTATGTCTCTGTTATGATCTTGAAGAAGGTTTGCTTTAAACTTTTAAACATGTGTTGCGGCTAAACGCTTCCAAAAGACTTGCATTATGGTAATAATGATAATCTCAAGTGTGTTCCAATGTTTTGGGTGCTGACTCTATCAAATATTTTTCAATAATCTATACCATAAAAGTGATATGTTGGCTTGCTAACATGGAAGTTATGTGTGATTTATTACTGTCTTGTTATAGAGAAAGTTTAAACTAATGTTTGGTACTGATGGCATTTCAAGGTAGCCGCCATGTTCTCAGTCGGATATTGAAATTTGAATCAAAGATAAAATCACTGCCCATGTTCATGTGTGTGTCAGGACAGCCGGGCATTTATGCTCAGTCACTGCATGAATTTTGAAACTGACTTTTTTTTTTACCTGAACTGTTCTTTAGAACTGCTTTATTGTATTTGTAACAGAGGAAATAGCAGGGAAACCAGGGTTGAAATTACTGCGATTGATTAGTCGTGGATCAATCTAACACTTTACACGACAAATCTCACCCGCTCATTTCCTTAATTAATCGCCCCAGATTCTTTCACTGGATAACAATCTCGCGCTAAAAATAAATTAATAAACTGCAAACGGCACATTTTCTAAATTTGAGTGGATCATCATCATCTAAGATGCAAAGCCGAACCATAAAGCATTGACACAGAATATTTCTTAGCCTCTGTTTTATTTGTGATTCAATTGTAATTTTTAAAAATTCAAATCAATTTGAAGAGTCCCAACAATCTGACTCTAATATTTTTATACTAAATTAATAAACTAAACTAAATAACATAGGAAAACGCAAACCGTGGATGTATTACTCAAGACCAAGAGGTCATAAGTTTGATCTATTTGAGTTGCTAATAGGATGGTCACTAAGAGGATTTCCTCGGCTGTAAACTTCAAGCTTTAGAGATCAATTGAGTGCATGCAAACTGACAGAACACTCCAAGTAAAAAAAAAAAAAAATTGAGCATGTAAACTGACAGAACACTCCAATTCAAAAAAAAAAAAAAAAAATGGAGGTTTCGAAACTAACTTAACTTTACAAAACTACAGTCTGAATAAGACATATATGCATATAATACTGAACATCAAAACCAATACACTAATATAAACAAAAATCAACAACTGACTAATCAATACCGCCATCATGTATGATGTATCCACCTCTCTGTGTTGAATCGCCTGTTCATCATGGATAATACTACACATACCACATCTCTCACCATAATAGGCAATGGTAATCCACCATGACTTGTCAAGTCCATTCCTGCCACCTCCTCAGTTGATATCCTCAGTAACTTTTGAGTTTATTTAGCATAAAAAACAATGTCCCCATGGTAACACTCACCCATCCTGTACTAACAAAAAATTGTACAACATGTGCTGCTAAAAAGCTTTCCCCCACCTCCCATAAAAACCCATATGGCCTCCGATCGCCTGGATAAACCTCATTAAAATATGACTCCTTGTCAACACATCCGATGAAAGTAATCCCCCATGCACCACACCCTCCATGAAGTTGAGTAGCTTCTAGGGGATCATCATACTAATTTCTCCGCTTACTGTTACACCCAATGAGGATCCAAGCAGCAAACCCACGATGATCTACCCAAGGATCCATACCAAGCAGCCTCCAGAGATTTTGGCGAACACACCTAGCAAACCGTTACAAACTCAATGACGTTCCAGTGACTTGCAAGTAAACATTTGCCAAAAAGAGTGGTGAGTGCAGCTGAGCATCTAGCAAGTGTTGTGATAGATGTTCTTCCAATTGCACTCCATTGACCATAGTAAGACCCACTTTCTCAAGTTTTTAAAATCTTCAAAAAGGAACCAGGATTGAATCAATACCATCCGAACCATAACAGGATGAACCTAGAACAACAAGTGTACTGTTGTGTCCACGTGAAGCTACAGGTTGATCAGCATGATTGAATCTACCAATACGAAAGCCTACAATGAAAGCACCCCAAAAACTGGCATTGCCTCCAACCATGTGAACGACTCCGAAACCTGCAAAATCAATTACCCCTGTTTCGTAGAAAAGATTATTATCAACTCTAGCTGGACTAGCCCAACGGTCGGGTGACCAAAACCAATGAAACTATTGGATAAACTAAACCAGTCGGGAAAGAAGAGTGGATTAGATATGAAATGAACTGGATTCGTTTGGCAATAGAACAACTAGTGATTCTAGCAGTTGCAACGGCGAAAGCCCACTAATAAAGGAAGCAAGCATAGTCAAATGAAGGTGAAGGGAAAGTTTTGGAGGCCGAAGAAGTGCTTACCAATGAAACCACTGGAGGGAGAACCAAACGCAAAAGCAAAGCCAAAAACACAATAAAAAAGGCCACCTGTGGCGGCGTGAAGGACATTGGTGAGCATGATTGTGTTTTTGGCACGAACAGAGCCAGCGCAAAGTATGGCAAAGCCAAGCTGCATGACAAAAACAAGGTTGGCAGAGGAGAAGATAAATTTTGTTAATGGCACGGGTGATGAATACTGGCTTCTATAAATTAATCCAATTCACTTCCTCTCTCTCACTCAGTAACTCAACACGCATAATGACCCATTCAATTAATCAATCAAGCAATAACAAAAATAAAAATGGAACAAACCAGAAGAAAATGACAGATTATATTGATATTCAATAGAATAATAGTTCATCAACAAAAGGAACAAATAATTACGACCCACAAGCAAAATAACAGTTGGACTTTGAGGGCAGTACCTCCAAACACTATTCACCCAGAAAATACATAATGCCCTCTACACCTCACGTCTCTCATTTTTATTACCAACACACTGGGATTCTTTGTAACTAATTCTGCCACCTGTTGCTTTTAATAATTCCCTTTTCTACCCCTCCCTCTTTTGATTTGTTGAGATACCACGGGTCCATTAATACCCTCCCCAAGAAGTGCCACCTTATCCTCAAGGTGGAAGGAAGGAAATTTGCTGACAGATAGAGTCGTACCTCTCCTGAGTGTTATCCCAAGAAGTAAATTCTTCCACTTAATAAAAGACTTCATAACTCTCATCCGAAAGTCGGTGTTTACGGATAACTTGTTCAAGCTCTACATTGAGTACTAGGTTGATGTCAAGGCATTCGGGAAGAGGTTGAGCACTAATGGTTAGACCTAGCAAAACGGGCAGGTGGGTCGAGTTGGGGTTGGGTCAATACGAGCATAAGCCCAATATGGGTCGGGTTATACAGGTCCAAAATATTGGATTCATATCCTATCCTATGTAGGTACGGGTGGACCCATGGATACCCGTTTTTTCTCTCTCCAATTTTTAATTTTTACGTTTCACCCCAATATTTTTAAATTATGACTGTTACACCCCCAAAATTCATACACTTTTCGTTTTTTATAATCACACCCCCCATAATTTCTGCACATTGACTTGAAATAAAGGCAACTGAGGTTTGACTGTCTAAGTGACGTTTGATTTCTGAGTAAAATGGTAATGGATGCGTTTGGTTTATTATTTTGGATAAGATTTTTGGGATAGTATTAGATAGTTGGATAGGGTTATGATTACGAGAATAGGATTTGCAGGATATGTGTTTGGTAGAGTATTTTGACCTTGATATTTGTGTTGAATATTTTACTAATATATTTTTTTATAAATGATTTATTAATATAATATTTTGTTGCATTTTGTTAAAATAATGTATTATTATATATATATCACTTATCAAATTACATTTTAATAATACTAAATATTTTATTGGTAATTTTGTCACCCGTATATATTAAAAAACTAAAACCCATATTAATTTCAAGTACTAATCCAACTGTTTAAAAACACCACATTAATGCATATATGACAAAAGTACTAATTATCAACCCTTACAATCATTATTACACGTATACTTCATTAACAACTACGAGTTGGTCCACTGTGCCACCCACAGTGCATTCGTTATGTTATCCCGTATAATCGTCATGTTGTCTATAATACCTTGTTGCGATTGACTCGGTCCTTCTCCATTTTGGCCATATTCTGCCCCATTTTGACGATCACAATTTACTTGCTCATTACCCGTACTATTATTGGTTTGTTTGAAGATACGATCGATCGTCCATGTTGTACATTCTGATAAAATTATGAAGTACACAACATGCCATAACAATCTTCCCTTGTTTGTCTAACGGGTAATTGTTCATTCCATTTAGAATACAGAACCGTCTTTTCAAAATACCAAAGGTTCTCTCGATAACATTGCGGAGTGAAGCATGTCTATAGTTAAACAACTCTTGTGGCCCGCTTCGGTTACAGCGGTGATCAGAAATATGGTAAGCCACTCGCCTATAAGGGGTGCGAAACCCATCTCTGTTTAGATAACCCGCATCAACCAAATAGTATTTCCCTGTAATAATATCAGACATTTTATTTGAATTACAGGGCCGGAACAGTGGAGGTAATACGCTATAATACGTCAAGAAAATACTTATACCTGGTAAAGGATGTGGGAATCCAGAATTAGGATCATCAATAATTGAATTTAAAACTCTTGAATCATGCGCAGATCCTTCCCATCCAGTAACGACATAAGTGAACATCATGTTAAAGTCGCATACAGCCATTACATTCTGTGACGTTGATCCTTTGCGATTCCAGTACCTATCGGAAAATTCACGTGGAACCGAAGCGTATACATGTGTGCCATCCATGACTCTAATACAGTCCTATCATGAAAATGGGGCATTTTACTAATATTAACCTACTAAACAAATTAATAACATAATGAACTTAACTATCTACTAATAGCAAACATAATGAACCAGTACCTTAAAGAAAGAGTAATATTTTCTATTGACTGATATTTCACATGGAACATCATTGAAGTCAGGTGGTCTGATAAACTCTGTCTTCAACTCACATATAGCATCGCAAACTGTGGTAACATGTCTAGAGATCATCTCACCCGAATGTTGGAAATCCTCCATCATCGTTCTGATTGTCTCATTTTTTCCAACGATTGTTAGAAATATCATAACTTTTTCTTCCAAACTCGTCCTCCTGGTTGGTTGCAATTTGCCTTGATCGGACAAAAATTCACATAACAATGTAAAACAATCTTTGTCCATGCGGCACTTGTCATAGATCCTGTCAGGATGACCGTTGAGTACTTCTAACATGTACTGATGACCAGTTAATACGGATGTATGTCGTGGTTGACGCTGACTTGCTTCTAATGCGGCAACACCGCAAAGTGCAATGGCTATATCTGTCATTATTTCTTCTTCATCCCTCTCATTTGTAGCACGTCGTCTTCTTCCTGTACGGCTAGACGACGCCATTTAAACCTACATATTTGCAAAACATTTATCAACAATTAACAGTTGTTGTACTACTTAGCAAAATATAACAGTCAATATTTAATTGTAATGACAATCTAAAACAGTTTTTACACATTACAATATCACATAAATAAGTTCATACAGTAGCGTTATAAATTGTAATTGTAATGACAACTGCCCACTGACGCATGCAAAATTGTTACCAAACAATTATGAAATATAGTGTCATCTACTAATTATTGGAAAAAAATTTATGAATCTAGTTAGCCTTTTCCTCCAGTGGGAGTTTCACAAATATCTCCCGCCACCCTGGATTTTCATATAAGTACGTGATAGCCGACAGATAAAACTGTGTCAGTACTTGCATGGCCGTCATGATGTCAATACAATTGCTCATGGAGAAAGGATCAAATAGAGCACTGATGTTCTCTTATTCCCTCTTATTTGCACTGCGATTGGAAGCCCTCGATCCCATTGTCCACTTCTCCGCAAGCTCGTCCGTCAAGCTAAAAATGGCATTCGCAATTGAATGTCTCGGCCCCCTTCTGTGCCTTCGATTTCTCACTCTTCCATGGCCAGATGTGTTTGGCTGTTTTTCCTCTGTCAAACGATCAAGATCAAGTTCAAAGTCGCTATCATCCATGGGAACCATGCCGAGATTGGAATAACTGGAGGTCTCCACCTGTTGGGATGTAGATGTGTACGCATATCTTCCAGTGGTAGTTTGCTTCTCAAATATTATTTCATAAAGTTCCTTGTGAGGAAGTCCCTTGTGGTAAAATTGTTGCGCCAGTGGGTTTTACTGGTAAGTTAAAAGAATAATATATTAATATTTAGTAGTCCGAAAATAATGCGTACATTTACAGTGACATTGAATAATAATAGTTAAAAAATATGAAAATTTACCTTGACATATTCTTGCCAATCCTCAACGGGACACGTTGGACTTTGTGACTCCTGATCCCACCTGAACCCCGTGTGTTGCAGCAATTTCCGCCATGCTTGATAAAGTTTTCGTAGGCGAAAGAACTTAGAGGTTAATTGTGTCACGTTGAGTCTCCTGCCAACTAGTGATGATATATCATCCAACATTTCTTGGTAATCAGCTGTTTTTATTGCAGTATCATGTGAAGTTTTGGCCCGCTCAGATAATAGGACCAGAAATTTATGGGTCATCTCAGCAGACCAGGCCACAGAATCACCTATCTAAGGACAGTACGGTGAGGGACAACCAACATTGGGGCACCATACGAATCACCAATCACATTACAAAATATAATACTCACATGTTAACGTAATCAACTAAACACATATAAAATTATACCTCATTCGATCCGACAATGCTTGAAGACATCAATGCAAGGGAAGATACAGACAATGTCGACCAACAGGGTGTATGATGAACTCCAAGTCTGGAAAAACGTCGAAACTTTCGACTCTGTTGTAAGTAATAATCAATCCTACAACGTCGAGATAAATTATCCTGACATCTGTGCATATGAGTGTAATTTTTTATTACGATTAAAGAACGATGTTGAATCTACACAACAAATATATCAATTAGTGAAACCCGAATAAAATATTTGAGTCAACTAATTACAAAACGCATTATTAAAGTCAAAATTAAAAGGATTAATGAAAAGAAAAAAAATAATATTAACACAAATTATTTCCAATAAAAAAATTAAAAAAATAGCGTCTCGATGACTTGAAAACAAATAGGTAACAGAAACTTACAAACTAGATTTGGGTACTTCGCGGGTCTATTTCCCTTCTCTAATACAGATAAACATCAAACACAATTAAAGGGTGTGTGTACAAGAGATTAAAAACCTATCAAACAAAACAAAAAACTTATTAAAACAATTCATCCGTTTGCCAAACAAAACAAAAACGCATTGAAAAGGATTCATGCCTATGCCAAATAAAACAAAAAAGGAAAAAAAAAAATCATTCCCGTGCCAAACAAAATAAACAACCAATTACAATCATGTGCCAAGTGCCAAATGCCAAATTAAACCCATTCACATGCGTGTGCCAAATGGCAAATAAAAGCAAAACCCATTCCAAATACCAAATAAAACAAAAACCATTCAAAATACCAAATAAAACAAAAACCCATTAAACAATCCATTAACGCAAAAAGCATCCTCTTCTACACAGATCAAACAAAAACCCATTCACACCATTAACGCAAAAGAGCATCCTCTTCTACACAGATCAAACAAAAACCCATTCACACCATTAACGCAAAACATCATCCCCTTCTACACAAATCAAACAAAAACCCATTCACAATCAATTCCTGCCAAACAAATAAAAAACGTAAAACAGCATCTGAGGTGGGTTTGATCTAGATGGGGGTGTGGGTTTGCGAAGGATCGGGTCATGGTGGGTTCGTTTTGGATAGATCGGGTCACAGTGGTTGGGTTGCGAAGGATCGGTCACGATGGGTTCGTTGTGGATAGATTGGGTCACTGTGGTTGGGTTGCGAAGGATCGGGTCACGGTGGGTTTGTTGTGGATAGATCGGGTCATGGTGGGTTATGTTGCGAAGGATCGGGTCACGGTGGGTTCGTTTTGGATAGATTGGGTCACGGTGGGTTTGTGTGTGATAGATCGAGTCATGGTGGGTTTGTGTGTGACTGATCTGTCACGGTGGGTTTGTTTGTGGTAGATCTGTCACGGTGGGTTTGTTTGTGACAGATCTATTTCCAAGTTCACGGTTGGGGATCTGAAGTGGGTTCGCAGTGGGTTTGTGACGGAGGC